CATTTTATGCAAATTTATTTACCTTCAACAAACAATAAATTACAAAATGGCTGGGATACAGTCGGTTACAACCAAACCCGATCTTCCGAGCCAATTGATTCCTTAGCTTGGCTCGTTACTGTCTGTGGGAAGATCGGTAATCCACGCATTGGCGAACTGGATGCTCGTTCATTGTCATTACCTGAAATATGCTTGTACAAGAAGTTTATAACTCCACCTCAGATGGAGTTTTAAACTGCATATAAAAGCACATTACACAATCTTTCAGGTCTTTGCGTAACATAATTATTTGCTCAGTTGGTGAAAAGACGGGAGAAACTTTGGTCGAAGCCAAGAAGTTTACGCGCTAGAATTCAACTTGCTTTACTCAGAGTCAGCCTCAGAAAAATCTTGTCTATAGAAATTCATTCTTGGAAGCCATCCCTGAATCAAATTGTTTACACTTCAAATAGAAAAAAAATGACTCGAACACCACAATCCTTATCCAGGAAATGATGCTGTTTTGCATCTATTTTGTGAATGTTGACATTCGAGCGATTGTTAGAGAATGTGCAAAGAAGAAGAGGAAGCGAAGGCCTTGAAAAAATAGAACACAACATAGAAATATAGAAATGCGATCAATCTCTAATGAGCTCAGCTTTTGTCATCACAAAAAACCGAGATGAAGAATTATAAATGATCAACTCTTCCTTGCGTGGTCAACTGAAGGAATGCCAAGGCCCATTGTATGATCAATTGATACCGAATTACAAGTCACTTACTGGTAAAGTTTGTTCCATTTAAGGTAATTTAGTGTTAACAACTGAGTTGAAAACGTAAATTAGCCACCGTAGAGGGTAAAATCTCTACGGTGGCTAATTTACGTTTTCAACTCATTTGTTAACACTAAATTACCTGCTCTACTCTCCCACCGACGCAGCACCACAGTTTCTTTAGTAACTTACCCCTTTATTCATTTGTTCCATTTAAGTCAAACTCTCCTGAACTTCTGGCGGAATTTAAATAGCTTCAACTGGGCTGGAAGAGAAAATAAAAATTAATTGCAAACCGAAGAAATCTTCAGCCGACTACAAAATTAATCAAACATGTGACTTTTGGGAAATCTCGAAGGATGCGGCTGAAAACAATCTGAGATATTTCTAACGTGAGCTACGCAGTTATTATCTCTAAGCTTAAGTCTGCTGCTCACAACTAATAACTAATGGAATGCCTTACTTACTAAATAGCATTGTGATATTCCTTATTTTTTCCCATTTCAGCGACTGTTTCTGCATCAAAGGAGACAATTAGAGAGAAAGAACAAAAAATCAAACAGCTAACGTCTCAGAAAAACACATATAAGGATCTCATTAAAAAATCTGACGATAGATACACGACATTCTCACAAGAGACTGCAGAAAGCTGCAGAAGAGGTTGAAAAACCAGCCCAAGACTGAAGTTTTGTCTAGGTATGTGTAGCATATCGGCTTAATATTTCAGTGGCAGGGCAAAGTTAATCAAAACACGAATCTGCACAAAGGTAGCTGGTAATTCATTATTATTATGCCCATCAGTGAAAAGAAAGAAAATTCAAACGAACAGGAAAAGACATCCAAAAGAGATCGTATAAAATCGGTGAAAAAAACTGATCTTTGTTTATTTAAAGAGTAACCGAACTAGCCGCTCGTTCATTCTCTCTAATTATATTTGTTCTCAAAATTGATTTCGTTATCGGGCAATTTTCTTTGTTCGCTCAACGCTAATGTAAACTAGAAGTGATACGTGAATAATTTGGTCATTGGGAACACTTGAACCGCACTCAGCAAAAGTCACAAAAAAACAAGCCACACACACATTACTTCTATAAATCAAACATAACCAGTCCCATTCACATCCATAATAGCACTACAACTAATAACCTTTTTTTGTACTTGTAGAGATACTTCAAATACTTAAAAGTTAAATTATTTGTTTTATTGCCATTTTTCAGCCGATAAGTCTTATTTTATTAGAGATAACACCTGCCTTCAGAATCAGGTTAAAGAAATGAAGGAATATCTAAAAGGAACAAGAGGCGACAATCAGAAGCAAATCGTGGAGATGTAAACAACGGTGGCGAATACCGAAGCAAAGCTTAAGGAATAGTCAGGTGATAGTTTTTTCCTTTTTTTCACTACTTACAGGGGGAATTTAAACTGTTTGTGTTGTTGCCATTTTCAGCCGAGAAGTTGGTGAGGCAAAACAGTTTCCCTCAGATTGAACTAGGTGCACTGATTGAGGTTTTCTTAGTTCTGCAATGATCTACCTGGTTTTAAAGGAAACGAATCAAAACCTAAAAAAATTGTAAGAAGAAATTTTATTTCGCTATTTTCTACTCTACGTGTCGAGTGAAAATCTTACCAGACTATTTTATTTCTCATCATTTCAGTCAAAGAGTACAGCGAGCCTCGCCCGTCAATGTTATCGTCTACAACCACCGTTCCAATGTTTTAGCCACGTGTCTGGCACAATTTGTGTTTCACTGGGTAAATCACACATCCAATAAGATAGAGAAAAAGACATAGAAGTGATCAAAAAGTTTGTAAGAAACAGATTTCTCTATAAGTCGACAGTTTATGGGAAAAACGGAAATTGTTGAAATAATCTCACTGGCGTCTTTTTCAGACGAAGGTGGCCCCATAAGGTTCCATCAATCACCCCTCCCTCCCATATTTGCACCACTACCTACATTTGAAGCAGGCCGATTTAAAAAGAATTACGACTGGCTGATTAGGAACCAAGCAACTTTGTATCTGTCTCCCGAAAGGGTTAAATTTGTATAGAAATGCTATTTTCATATGTTTTCCAGCTTACTTTGAGGGTTGGAGCATGTATCTCGCCCATTGAGTAGCTGTTTCAGTTGAGAGAAGGACTTTTGTGAAGGTTAAACTGTATTGAAAATTTAGATCTTTTTAATATAATAATGCATTTGATGAAAAATAGATTAAATGTAAACATAAGTATAGCATGACTAGAATAGGAGTCATTCACCATATTAGCGTACAAATCTGTTTGAATATAACATGCTTGTATTTGAGATTTCTTTGATAATCGGCAGAATTAGAACAGCTGGCAATAACGAATTCCTCCCTTAAACAGCAAGTGAACCAACAACTAGAAGACCAAGCACGTGAAAAGGCCGCTGTGAGGAGAAACTACTGATTTTAAAAATCAGAGTTTATGCACCAACTCAATGTGATGATGACTAAAAAGCAAGCTGAATGGATGACAGCGATAATATGTAAGCGGACCGATTTCATGTCTCAGTATGCTTAACATAGTTCCTAGGAGCATATAACTTCCTGGTATGACTTTTGTAACTCAATAAACTTGCAACTAGAGGTAAAAAGTTTAACGTTCATATCAGTCTATGAATGGCTTAATCAGTTTGGGTTCAACTCTGAAATCAGATTAATCATCAAGACTGAAATGTTTCTACGTGTGGTGAGAAACTTTTTATTCCAATTGTTGCTAGTGCGCTCTGATGAAATTTTGAAAGCAGCTTAACTAAAACAGACATTCACATCCATTTTCATCTACCTGTCGATAGAGCGATTCAATTCGGAAAAGTCGGACCAATTTCTGATTTGTTGTGATTTACTTGTTGGCACTTACCAACAACTACAACTGATTTTAGAAAAAATAGTTTTCTACGTAGCGAGGAGACGGATATCTTACACCTTATCCCTAAAAAAGTCGAGACTTTTCTCTTTTTTCTTTCTTGTTGCAATATCTCAAATAAATTGATTCAATTAGGATATTAATGCCTTCAACTCTTGAGCTTTTCTCTCTGATTTACGGTCACTGTTTGTGACATTTTTGAGCTCTGTGCAAATGTATTGAATTTGGTGCAACGGAAAATCAAATTTAAATGTTATAGTGTGGTTTTAACAAAGTGTGTAGCGAGCGAAAAGTAAAATGTAATGCGAAATAAAACCATTGTACCTCCATTTCACTGTTTGAGTTCCTTATGAGAGATTTTGAATCCAATTTCATCGGCCTTTCCTCTCCAGATTACTAAGGCTCTAAAACGAAATGAAATGTTAGAAACTTCAACTCAGCTTTCTTCGCAAAGAGATCAATTAAATTCTCCAAAAATGAATGCAAATTCTCTAGACAAACTTCAGATAACAGCTTAAAATATTACCTTATAATTTCATTTTGCTTAAGTGGCGCAATTTCACTACAACAGCCAAAAAGTCGCTTTTTTCTCAACTCAACTAAAGAAGTTTCGCTTTTTTGGTATGCGCGATTAAATTCAGTCGTAATCAGATTTGAAAAGTTTTCGATTAGCGACCGTTACAATCCAACAAGTATTCTTGCTCGCGCGCACATCTCATGATCGAATATGCCCCTCTAAAACCGGGATTTTCCGAGGATATGCTCTGAGTGACATTCGCCAATTTTCAAAGGTATAACTACGACGATAAAAGAGTACGTTGAAAATTTTATTACAGACGTAAGAGCATTTAGCTATTTTTAAAAATGAAGGGACAAATTTGTCTGTTCATACCGTGGTACCAGAGGTTCATTTAATGCCCGAGCAAAACCCCACTTGCAATTGTGGATTCAGTTTCGGGCTAAACCAACTGAACTATCGTTTCTCGGCTCAAGATAACCATTTGCATCGAACGAAATACATCTGCAGTGGTTTGGAGTGCATGAGTCGTTTTTTGAGGAGAAAGCTGAATTTCAAGTTTCCAATCATTCGCTTCCTTTTAAGAACGTTAGATATCCGGAGAGAAAAAGTCGATGAGATCGGGAAACAATGAACTGGGTAACTCTGAGTGAAGTAAATTAAATTATTGCGCGCAAAATTCTTGGCTGCGACCCAGGCTTCTCGCATATCCTTACTAAGTAATAGTATTGTTATGTTACGACATCGTGACGACACAATTGTTTACCGCGCGTAACCATAACAACTTCTCAGACAGAAATCATTTGCAATTTCGAGTGAAACGTGTATATCTTGGAGGGAAAACATGAGTACTTCGTGGATAAACTACGTGTATAAACAGTTCACTGGGGAAGAAGACAATGAACGCGCAACCAACTCATTAGATGTCCTCTCTAAAGCCAATATCTGGTTCACAGATCTTCCTACAAATAGCTTAGGTCCGATTGAGGAATCATTCGGGGCGCGCAAGATGACTAAAAAGGTAGGTGCCTAACTTACACTTCTTTTCTTTTAATACATTATTTGAAGACTGTTTAGAGTTGAGGAGACTGATGGGACAATATGTCAATCAGTTTTTAAGTTTAGGACTTTGCCTTTTCTTTCTCTCTTTATTTTTTACTCTATCTTGAGATGAATCAAGCGCGCGGAAATGCTCTTCAACTACGACGCACCGATTTCGTTTTCTTTTGAACAACGTTATTGAAGGAAAAAGTTGAAAAAATTTCTCCCATCTATAACAAGTAAACAAAACAGGCTCTAAAGGTTAGTTTGGCGATCATTTTGTTATGAAGAGTATTTAACCATTTAAGAAGTCAGACTAAATTATAGCTGATTTTGCAACACACCCAATCTTTGTTCTTTGAAAACTCAAATTTCAGTTATTGTGTGTTATGCGCCTTCGCGGAGTTCTCATGGTCGGCGTGCTTTAAAACGTCCTGGCTCGATATGTTATGTTATAATATTATATGTTACAATGTTTTGTATATAAAAACGTCAAATGTACTTAATCTTATTGAACTAGGGTAAGAAGGATAAAGAATTGGAGGAAAAGATGGCAGTCCTTGAACAACAATACCAAGGTAAGATATCTTTTTTTTCCAACTTTAATCCAGGCTGGTGGTCGATGCAGACCAACGCAATAGTAAGTGGGCGAAGAAAACGCTGGAAACAGCAGAGATTGTTCCTCATATTTCTTAGCCCAACTCTCGCCGTTTTTGGACAACTCCTCCCCCCCCCCCACGCCTTTTTGCCTCCACTGACTGAGAACTCATTAAAGGTAATTGCTCTCAACAAAGAGAATAATCATCCAATATGCAGGCCTTTGTCAGTTTTTGTCGTCAAATCCGCAATAAAATAAAGTGATGAAGGTGTATAACTATCGATTATTTGAAAGCTTAGTCACTTGCGGACTGAAACACATCAAGGTATTCGTGAATGATATGCTGGTTACATTGAAACAACTGATCTGTCATTAAATAAGACTGACCGAGTCACCGACTGACCGACTGACCGACTGACCAAGTGACTGACTCAGTAACTGCCTGACTGACCGAGTCACTGCTTGACTGACTGATCAAGTGACTGACTGAGTAACTGAATGACTGACCGAGTGACTGACCGATCGACTGACTGACCAAGTGACTGAGTAAATGAATGACTGACCGAGTGACTGACCGATCGTCTGACTGACTGACTGACTGACCAACCAATATATGGTTTGACTTATCGACCGGATGACTGAAGAAAGGACCACGTTTATTGACTGTCTGTTTGTTTGTCTGTCTGTCTGTCTGTCTGTCTTTCTGTCTGTCCGTCTCTCTGTCTGTCTGTCTTTCTGTCTGTCTGTCTATTCAGCCGTGATCCCCGATTGGTATGACGTGTGAGACGTCAGAGCTTAGTCAGTTGACTATTGGCTCATTGCTTATACTGACCATCTAACTTTCTAAAGCATATCAGAGCACCATTCCCTGAATTCGGTTAGCTTTAGAGAATCTAAGACAATCATACTTTCAGAGGATATTTGAGACAAAAAATGCGGTTATTCACCACTGAGCTAAGCTTTTATAACTACATTAGAGAGAGAGAAAGAACTCCTAAAAAGGAACTCTGCCTTGGAAAATCAACTGAAAGAATCACGTGACAAAATGGACGATCTACGCATTCAGTATGAAAAAGAAAACGAGTCTCTCCAGACTGAAATTAAAGACTTGAAGGACACTCTACTTAGGAGAGAAAAGTGTCATACAAGACAAAAAGATCTTTTCAAAAAGATGGCAGCTAATGCCCAGAGTGAAGTGGACAAAGCTCGGGCGGTCATTTCAAATCTCTCTGAAGGGATGAAGGCCTGTGAAGGTAAGTCTTATGCATAAGGTAAACTATTCATTCATTTTTTTCTCATTACAAAACTGATCATAAAACGTGCTTATGAACTAAATATTGTTGCGTTCAATCAAAAGTTTGGTAGATAAGCACAGATAAGCAAAAAAAACGTTACAAATGACTAAACAACAACCCGTAAAAAGATATTTAATACTTAAAAAAACACAAGGTTAAAACTTCCTCCACATAATATGTAGTCATTTACAACGTACGATATAGGACAAAATGGTTGGGACACAGTCGGTTCCACCCCTCCCTGATCTTCCCACAAACAATTAGGAGCCAACTGATTCCTCAGTCGGTTCTAAATTGTTGATCGGTGACCCACACGTTGGCTTTAGAAAGGACATCCAATGAACTGAATGCTCGTTCACTTCTTGTACAAGCACACTACAGGCGAAGAAGACAACTTCTCCAGTAATCTGTTTGTACCAGAAGTTTAGAACTCCACCTGACTTTTATGATATCCAAAAACTACTCATGTTTACACCCGTAGCTATAATCATTTCATTCGAAATCGCAAATCTTTCCTGTCTGAGCAGTTATTATAGTTGCGCGCGGTAAACAGATGGCGTAGTCACGGTGTCGTAGCATGATTATTTAATCACATCATGAGGACAAGCGAGAAACCTGGGTGGCAGCCATGAAGGTTGCATCCCAGAATTAAATTTGCTTGACTTAAACTTAACCTAAGCAAAATCATGTTTTAAAAACATCATTCTTGAAAGCCATCTCTGAGTTAAACTATTTACATTTTATATGATCAAAACGGTGGCGAACACCCAGCACTCCTTGGACAATCCTTGTCCAGGAAATGAAGCTATTTGCGTCTATTTTGTGAACGTTAACATTTGGAAGATCGTTAGAGAATGTGCAAAGAAGAAGAGGAAGCGAAGGAGTCAATAAAATGGAAATATAGAAATGCAATTGATCTCTGATGAGCTAAGCCTTTACAATCACCAGGAACTGAGATAAAGAATTATTAAAAATGATCAACTCTTCCTTGCGTGGTCAACTAAAGAAGATTCCATTGAGCTGAAAGAGAAAATAAAAAGTGATTGAACAAACTGAAGAAATCTTCATTCGACGTCAAATCTTTCTCTGTTGGACTTGGCTTTCACTGGGGGGAGATGTGGTTTATTTTTGGAAATACGAAATTAATCAAATATACGATTTTAGGAAAACGCGAAGGATGTGGCTGAAAACAATCGGAGATATTTCAACGTGAGCGACGTTTGTATTTCCTCTGCGGAGCTTTTAAATTCTGTGCCTGACTACTAGTAATAATTAAATGTCTTACTTACTAAATGGCGTTGTAATATTCCTGTATTTTTTGTTCATTTCAGCGACTCTTTCTGCATCAAAGGAGACAATCAGTGAGAAAGATCAAAAAATTCAACGGCTTACATCTCAGCTAAACAAATATGAAGATCTCCTTAAAAAATTAACGGTTGATACGAGAAATTATCACAAGAGCCTGCAGAAAGCTGCAGACGATGTTGACAAAATCAGTGAAAGACTGGAGGTTTCTCTAGGTATGTGTAACATAGCGGGTTAATATTTGGCAACACAAAATCAAGCAAAACACGATTTTTAACAAAGGTAGCTGGTAATTTATTTTGTTGCGTCCATCAAAAAAAAAAAGAAAGAAAGAAAATCCAGACAAACAGAATTGTTAACCAAGAACACTTGCCCTGAGAACCAAATTGCTGAAATGGAAGAAACCGTTTTTTCCATGTTAACTATTTGGTCCTCATGGCGGTGGCTGATGCCGAAGAAAAAAAATGTAGGAATTCGCTTTTTACCAGTTGAAAAAGCGTTTTCTGTTCTTTAAGTTTGATTTATTTGTTTTATTGCCATTTTCAGCCGTTAAGGAGAAACTGTTGAGGAAAAACAGATGCCTCGAGGAAAAAGTTGTCATTATGGAAGAAACAATGACTAATGCCGAAGCAAAAGTGAAGGAATCGTCAGGTGACTTTTTTTTCGTTTTTAGTACTTCCTGAAGTAATTTAAACTATCTGTTTTAATGACATTTTTCAGCCGATAAGTCCGAATTATTAACGAAGAACGCTTGCCTTGAGGACCAAATTTCTGAAATGGAAGAGACTGTTTCTTCCATGTTAACAGTTTTGTCCTCAAGGCGGTGGCTAATACCGAAGCAAACATGGACGAATTGTTCGGTGACAATTTATTTCGCTCTTTACTACTCGAAAGAGTGTCTTCTGTTCTTGAAGTTTGAATGATTTATTTTCTTTCTCTTTGCAGAAGTCTACTCTAAGTTCGTTGAGAAGATCAGTTTCCTTCAGGATGAGGACAAAAAGATGCAGCTTGATCTTCAAGAAAGAAGAAACAAGGAGAGGCTAAACGACAAAATGGGTATGATGAACCAATTAAAGGAAAATCTGAAAACAAAACGTACTGATGTGACAGTAGAAATACTAGGTTCGTGAAGCGATCTTATGAATAGATAAACATAGCATAACTTCATTAATGAGACATGAGATATTTTCCGCGTGCCATTGGTTTTAACGCGACTGAGTTAAAGTGATGAATATCTCTTGGTGTTACGAGGTGGTGGTACCAAATTTTAAGAGAACGTCCAATGCAATGAAGGTCGTTCTATAACTGTTGATTCAATCAGAACGTTTTTGTCCTTGACACTAATAAGGGGATGAGCTTATTTGTTGACAAAATTGCTTTAAAATTTCAACCCACGTTTTATAAAGTGAGCTGTTGGTAAACCCTTTGTGTCGTGTATTTCAAAAATATATTGAAGAATAAGAAACGAGAAAGTCTCTATTAGGCTTAAAAATATGAAGGTATATTTTTCCTTCCAGTGACAATATCTAAAACTCACAGTCTTCCTCAAAATTTGCTTGTAGCCTGAATATTTGCCCTTTGTAATGGATGATATCCGTGAACTAATATTCTGGTGCATTTTCGCACCAAATAGAGGATGAGATTTATAGCGGAGCTCGCAGAGCGTAGCCCCATAATTATACAAAATAGTAGTAACCCATCAAGCCGAAAAAATTTGGATGTTCGACCGCACCACCGTAAGACCGCACAACCTTACGACCGTACGACCGAAGAAGGTGCTACTTTTAACATGCGTGGTCAACTGTACCGCGGGCACGTCAACGCCACAGCTTTGTTCAGTAGTCCAGTGGTCTGTGCTCTGGGCTCCGAGTCGGACGCCCCGGGTTTTAGTCCTGGCCGAGGCAAGGCGTTGTGCCCTTGAGACGTGCGGGAAAAAAATGCGAGCTTCGCTTTTAGGCTTGGCTAAATCTATATATCATAATTCATAAACTGGTACGTGTGGAACAGACTCCGATGAACATATGGGCATATTCGATGTTGGAAGGGAAGTTGTTGCATACGATGTCTGTCAAAACTTAAAGAAGGGGTTTGTGTCAGAAATATATCCAAGTTTTAATACGTTCAATTTTTTTTTCTCTAGCCGGTGTCTACGACGACCTGCAACCTACAGAGCTCAATGTGAAAAGCGGGGACTGTTTTCTCCCAGAACAAAAGAGTACTGTGCTTATAAAAGAGACAGAAACGCCTAATGGCGATGAAGCAAATGTAAAGAAGACATTAAAAGGTGTTGATAATTTAACATTGTTGTAATTGTAGTAACTTGTACTTCAATTATTACGTAAGATATCATTGACGCCTCTTATCTCTTGTGGGGAGGGGGAGAGGGGGGGGAGGGAGTGGGATGAGAACGTTTTCAGCATAGACTAGTCAAGTATTTATTGAGTGAAAATGTTACAGGATTATTTAATTTCTTGTCATTTCAGTTAAAGAGAACAGGGAGCCTCGCCCGTCAATGTTATCATCTGCAGCCAGAGTCTCAACGAGTGGAACTTTAGTGCAGGACACCTGTCTGAGAAAAAGGCATAAAAGTGATCAATGCAAGGGATTCAGTTGCGAAAGCAAAACAGCTGATCCGTTGTCCACGCCTACCGCAGGTAAGAGCAGTGAAACACATTACCAAAAAATAAACGAAGAAACAAAGCAAATGAGAAACGGGTTTTGTAAAAATCTACTAATCTCATTGGCGTCTCTTTCAGACAAAGGTGGCCCCATCAGGCACCATCAATCACCCATCCCTCCCATATTTGCACGACTATCTACATCTGAAGTAGGCCGAGCTAAAAAGGATGACGACTGGCTGGTTAGGAAACAAGGAAACTTTCTACCTTTCTCCCAAAAGGGTAAGTGACATTTCTATGAAAATACTATTTTCATATATTTTCCAGTTTACTACAAGAGTTGTCAGAGTTTTGAGGTTTTTGATACCTTTCTTTCTTTGCAGCCGGTGGCTTTGATTACGATCCTGATCGAGCTCTGCATGAAAGCCATGTAGAAGAAAAAGATGAAAAAGGTGAAAAATTTTTTGCAATGAAAGGAAACTCATCCTTCGAGGCGGAAAAAGGTATGAATTGTTTAATAATAGGTACTTATACGTTTTTTAGCATGTTCCATGCCAGTAGGTAAGAGACGGGTCATTATTCATCGCCTGAGGGAGTAGGATCGGAGGATTATGGCTGTATCAAAATAAAATTTAATTTTAAATAGTTTTGCATGGATATACTGACAAATAAGATTTACCTGACCTATTTGAAAAGTGAAAAGCAAGAGAATCTTGTCAAAAGTCATCCCTGTTGGTTCAGCAGTTCAAATGGTTTCACAATGATGGGGGACAGTTTTCGGTCACAAAATCTTCCAAAACTCAGAGGAGAATACAGCATCAGCACGTCAGAGTCTTAATGTCTTTCAATTTTTGTAGCCGATGCTTGTCGATCAAAAGAAGAAAGCCATCCGTGATGTAAGACAAATGATGAAAAGTCTTCTGCTAAGAAAGGCAACTCATCCTTGGAGACGGCAAAAGGTATGAGTACTTCAATAAACAGTGATCTGGTAAAGAAGAAGAAAATAAAATTAGACTCTAGTTGCTTAACAATCAGAGGTCCTTATTCGAACCTGATCTCGTTCCCAGATTCTCTCTTGTAGAGGAAAAGTGGACTTGTAGGGCGTTAGTATATGTGAGCCGAGTGCACTTCTGTACTTCGGGAAAATCTGCATAACTTATTCGTTCTTCGTAATTCCATAAGAATGCTTCCAATTATGTCATGAACACTATATCTTTTACCGGTGCCGGGGCGAGAGACTTTTTCCAGATGAGCTGCGTCCCCCTAATGCGGAATGAGACTTTCGTTGAGGTTCGTCACTTTTTCGCATGTAAAAGATCTTTGGCTAATTTTAAGATGTGGTATTGTTTGATTCTTCGTAGCAGAAACAATTTTTTTATCGTTGTTATTTTGCGCTGAACCGTGGAATGGTTCGTTTATAGCATTTTTTTTAGGTTACCATTACCGCTCCGTGCGTTTTAGGGAAGTAGTTTTAAGTATCACAGTACCGTACAGTTGACTGAGATCCTCTACAATACTTATTCCTTTCTTTGTTTATACAGAAGAGCAAGGATTCTTTGGCAAAGTATTTTGGGCATTTTTACATCACGCTCCCTCAAAGCTTTAGGTTTGTCTGCCTGTGTTTGAATCAACCTTCGTCCCTTTCAGGTACATCATCTTTTTTCTACTCTGGTATTCATCTATCTTCCCATATTGGTATTTCACGGTTTCCCTCATTTCTGTATACTTTAAATGGCTCTCGAACACTTATTTGACAAGCTCCTCGACGGAAGTTACTAGATACTGTGGTTGATTTCTAACATATAATGCAATCTACGACGGTCGATTTCGGCTATCTCAAGTGATTGAGGGAAATACCTAAAAATACTTTAATTTCAGTACTGCTTTTGATTCCTTGAGTCGTTTTGTTCACAGTCAGATAACATAACAAAAGTCTCACTTATTTTGGTTTTTTTGATTATAGTCTCGATCGAGTAATCTGGCGGGTTTTTGAAATGGTTTATTACCTTCTGCCCTCTTTCGCTAAAGTGTCACTCTTTCAGATACAAATGAATCATTTCCTTTAAGACATGCTGCTGATCACAGCTCATGTATCTATTTCCTTCTCTTTTGTGCAGGTTTTCAGGACTCGTCCTTACAATTATCAATTGCAACTCAGTTAATATTGTAAATAGTTGTAAAAATGTTGTGATATGAGGATTTGCAATCAGTATATATTGTAAATATTTATATAATTTAATGGAAAATATGGGCATACACTTACATGCCCGGCATGTATGGGCCATTCATGCAAATAAATTCTTTTCTTGTTTCATGATCTGTTTGATATGTGTTTAGTGGCAACATTCCGATAGTCTGGGTATAACAAATATTTTCTTTTCCGGGTTGAAAACAAGATGGACTTCTTCGTGTCATCAAGGCGATGTACTCTTCTTTCAAAATGATAAGCTTCAGTTTTTAGTCGAAATGTAGTGTTTTGATCAGTAGTGATAAGTAGGGAGCCAAGAAAGCATGCATGTACTGCACTGGTCAGAGTTAATTTTGGGGTCGCTTTTACTACACTTTACAGATACCGAAGGGGTCAAAACGTCCTATCTTGGAGACGGTGTAAGATAAGAAGTGGCTGGGACCTTCTGTTTATCCTGCTGAACTGGGTTCTCCTTTTCCCCCCCCCCTCCAACACATTAATAGGAGTACATGGTATTCATGGACTTATGGACAACACTACTGTTGATTCAGACAGTGATGAACAGTAAAGAAATTTTATCGCTCTCTTGCTGTTTTTTACCCATGGATTGCTCTTTCTGTAAGAGTGAGTAATAACGGCAGCATCGATAGAAGGAAGCAAAACGTTTTGGCGCCTGGAATGAGTTAGACTGCGTTAGATGCGGACTTGAAAATGACTTGCTCGAGTAAAACTTGCAGGGAGCTAGAAATTGCGCGGGTAAATGAAATTTGCTTTGCGAAATTTCGGCAGTCGGACAGAAGTAAGTGGGACTGTTTCATCCTGCAAAGTGATCAAACCACGATCTATAAAGGAGAGTTGAATGATCTTCTCAGTCCACTCCACTCGGATACATATTTAGTCATTTCTACTTTCTCAACATTGTTGTGTTCAAGCACTAACTCTTGACTACTGCCTTTATTTTCCTTTAGGGGAAGAAAACACTGTCCTCTTAATACGTAGTATTTTCATCCATTTTACCTTCACCTTAATGCACTACATCTGCCTTTAACTGGGGATTTTCATAATCCAGAAAGATTGGAGTTTAGTGCAAACTAAACAATGAACGAAGAAGCTCTTGCTATTCGATTATATCTCTATCTTTTCGGAGGTCTGGGTGCTTATTCACTGCAAATTTTCTTAAACCAAGAAGAGTTTCAACAAAGTTCTTGTTTCATTCTGAGAACTGATGTCACTTTGGTTTGTTCTCTTAATGACAACATCATTAGTTTAGGATTTGAGTCTCGGGAAGTGTTCTGCAACTTTCGTTCATTGAAATGTTGTGTTCTCTTACTAAGTAACATAAAGGGTTGGAGTATTTGCTCCTTTCCTCAGCACGATCTTCCTCGCCGGCTGCATAATACAAGAACACGAAACGTATTTCGATCACCACTTCACGTTAACGCGGTTTTGACCTCTAAAAAAGTGACCACAAACAAAAGGAACTGTTCATTGCTAAAGAAGTTCTCCTTGTCAGCACTTTGGGAAATGTATGGAGAATAGTATGGAGAATATGGATACTGATATTGAGGTGAAAATAGTTGAACAGGGCCCAGTTGTTCAAAGGCCCAGGGTTAAAATTTTAATCCAGGTTTCTATATTTCTCTGTTCAAAAGCCGTTTAGGGGCAATTTTCCTAATTCTTTTTAGAAGATTCAATCATAAAATTGTAGATAAATGGAATTAAACTGAATTTTCTTTGTAAACTTTCAGATGTGACATCAAATTTTGTCTTGCATGACACTAACTCTCATAACCAGAGTCTCTCTTGCAAGTAAGTAAATGAGAGAGAGAGAAAGTATCATTTTATGCAAATTTATTTACCTTCAACAAACAATAAATTACAAAATGGCTGGGATATACAGTCGGTTACAACCAAACCTGATCTTCCGAGCCAATTGACTCCTTAACTTGGCTCGTATCTGTCTGTGGGAAGATCGGTAATCCACGCATTGGCGAACTGGATGCTCGTTCATTGTCATCACCTGAAATATGCTTGTACAAGAAGTTTATAACTCCACCTCAGATGGAGTTTTAAACTGCATGTAAAAGCACATTACACAATCTTTCAAGTCTTTGCGTAACATAATTATTTGCTCAGTTGGTGAAAAGACGGGAGAAACTTTGGTCGAAGCCTTAAGTTTACGCGCTAGAATCCAACTCGCTTTACTTAGAGTTAGCCTCAGAAAAATCTTGTTTATTGAAGTTCATTCTTGAAAGCCATCCCTTAATCAAATTGTTTACATTTCAAATAGAATAAAAAAAATGAGTCGAACACCTAGCGCTCCTCTCATAATCCTTGTCCAGGAAATGACGAAGTTTTGCATCTATTTTGTGAATGTTGACATTTGAGCGATTGTTAGAGAATGTGCAAAGAAGAAGAGGAAGCGAAGGCCTTGAAAAAATAGAACATAACATAGAAATATAGAAATGCGAAAAATCTCTAATGAGCTCAGCTTTTATAATCACAAAAAACCGAGATGAAGAATTATAAATGATCAACTTTTCCTTGCGTGGTCAACTGGAGGAATGCCAAGGCCAACTGTATGATCAGTTGGTACCGAATTACAAGTCACTTACTGGTAAAGTTTGTTCCATTAAAGTTGAACTCTCTTGAACTTCTGGCGGAGTTTAAATAGCTTCAACTGGGCTGGAAGAGAAAATAAAAATTAATTGCAAACCAAAGAAATCTTCAGCTGACTTCAAAACTTTCTCTGTAAGAATTCAGTGGCTTTTGAGAGGGTGAGATGTGGTTTATCTTTGGCAATATAAAATTAATCAAACATGCGACTTTTGGGAAATCTCGAAGGATGCGGCTGAAAACAATCTGAGATATTTCTAACGTGAGCTACGTAGGTATTATCTCTAAGCTTAAGTCTGCTGCTCACAACTAATAACTAATGGAATGCCTTACTTACTAAATGGCATGGTAATATTCCCTTATTTTTCCCATTTCAGCGACTGTTTCTGCATCAAAGGAGACAATTAGAGAGAAAGAACAAAAAATCAAACAGCTAACGTCTCAGAAAAACACATATAAAGATCTCATTAAAAAATCTGACGATAGATACACGACATTCTCACAAGAGACTGCAGAAAGCTGCAGAAGAGGTTGAAAAACCAGCCCAAGACTGAAGTTTTGTCTAGGTATGTGTAGCATATCGGCTTAATATTTCAGTGGCAAGGCAAAGTTAATCAAAACACGAATCTGAACAAAGGTAGCTGGTAATTCATTATTATTTTGCCCATCAGTGAAAAGAAAGAAAATTCAAACGAACAGGAAAAGACATCCAGAAGAGATCGAATAAAATCAGTGAAAAAAACTGATCTTTGTTTATTTAAAGAGTAACCGAACTAGCCGCTCGTTCATTCTCTCTAATTATATTTGTTCTCAAAATTGATTTCGTTATCGGGCAATTTTCTTTGTTCGCTCAACGCTAATGTAAACTAGAAGTGATACGTGAATAATTTGGTCAGTGGGAACACTTGAACCGCACTCAGCAAAAGTCACAAAAAAACAAGCCACACACATTACTTCTATAAATCAAACATAATTCTCACCATTCCCATTCACATCCATAATAGCACTACAACTAATAACCTTTTTTTGTACTTGTAGAGATACTTAAATATTATATTATTTGTTTTATTGCCATTTTTCAGCCGATAAGTCTTATTTTATTAGAGATAACACCTGCCTTCAGAATCAGGTTAAAGAAATGAAGGAATATCTAAAAGGAACAAGAGGCGACAATAAGAACCAAATTGTGGAGATGGAAACAACGGTGGCGAATGCCGAAGCAAAGCTTAAGGAATAGTCAGGTGATAGTTTTTTCCTTTTTTTTCACTACTTACAGGGGGAATTTAAACTGTTTGTGTTGTTGCCATTTTCAGCCGAGAAGTTGGTGGGGCAAAACAGTTTTCCTCAGACTGAACTACGTGCACTGATTGAGGTTTACTTAGTTCTGCAATGATCTACCTGGTTTTAAAGGAAACGAATCAAAACTTAAAAAAATTGTCAGAAGAAATTTTATTTCGCTATTTTCTACTCTACGTGTCGAGTGAAAATCTTCCAAGACTATTTTATTTCTCATCATTTCAGTCAAAGAGTACAGCGAGCCTCGCCCGTCAATGTTATCGTCTACAACCACCGTTCCAATGTTTTAGCCACGTGTCTGGCACAATTTGTGTTTCACTGGGTAAATCACACATCCAATAAGATAGAGAAAAAGACATAGAAGTGATCAAAAAGTTTGTAAGAAACAGATTTCTCTATAAGTCGACAGTTTATGGGAAAAACGGAAATTGTTGAAATAATCTCACTGGCGTCTTTTTCAGACGAAGGTGGCCCCATAAGGTTCCATCAATCACCCCTCCCTCCAATATTTTCACCACTATCTACATCTGAAGCAGGCCGATTTAAAAAGGATTACGACTGGCTGATTAGGAACCAAGCAACTTTGTATCTGTCTCCCGAAAGGGTTTAATTTGTATAGAAATGCTATTTTCATATGTTTTCCAGCTTACTTTGAGGGTTGGAGCATGTATCTCGCCCATTGTGTAGCTGTTTCAGTTGAGAGAAGGACTTTTGTGAAGGTTAAACTGTATTGAAAATTTAGATCTTTTTAATATAATAATGCATTTGATGAAAAATAGATTAAATGTAAACATAAGTATAGCATGACTAGAATAGGAGTCATTCACCATATTAGCGTACAAATCTGTTTGAATATAACATGCTTGTATTTGAGATTTCTTTGATAATCGGCAGAATTAGAACAGCTGGCAATAACGAATTCCTCCCTTAAACAGCAAGTGAACCAACAACTAGAAGACCAAGCACGTGAAAAGGCCGCTGTGAGGAGAAACTACTGATTTTAAAAATCAGAGTTTATGCACCAACTCAATGCGATGATGACTAAAAAGCAAGCTGATTGGATGACAGCGATACTATGTAAGCGGACCGATTTCATGTCTCAGTATGCTTAACATAGTTCCTAGGAGCATATAACTTCCTGGTATGACTTTTGTAACTCAATAAACTTGCAACTAGAGGTAAAAAGTTTAACGTTCATATCAATCTATGAATGGCTTAATCAGTTTGGGCTCAACTCTGAAATCAGATTAATCATCGAGACTAAAATGTGTCTGCTTGTGGTGGGAAACTTTTTATTCCAATTGTTGCTAGTGCGCTCTGATGAAATTTTGAAAGCAGCTTAACTAAAACAGACATTCACATCCATTTTCATCTACCTGTCGATAGAGCGATTCAATTCGGAAAAGTCGGACCAATTTCTGATTTGTTGTGATTTACTTGTTGGCACTTACCAACAACTACAACTGATTTTAGAAAAAATAGTTTTCTACGTAGCAAGGAGACGGATATCTTACACCCTATCCCTAAAAAAAGTCGAGACTTTTCTCTTTTTTCTTTCTTGTTGCAATATCTCAAATAAATTGATTCAATTAGGATATTAATGCCTTCAACTCTTGAGCTTTTCTCTCTGATTTACGGTCACCGTTTGTGATATTTTTGAGCTCTGTGCAAATGTATTGAATTTGGTGCAACGGAAAATCAAATTTAAATGTTATAGTGTGGTTTTAACAAAGTGTGTAGCGAGCGAAAAGTAAAATGTAATGCGAAATAAAACCATTGTACCTCCATTTCACTATTTGAGTTCCTTATGAGAGATTTTGAATCCAATTTCATCGGCCTTTCCTCTCCAGATTACTAAGGCTCTAAAACGAAATGAAATGTTAGAAACTTCAACTCAGCTTTCTTCGCAAAGAGATCAATTAAATTCTCCAAAAATGAATGCAAATTCTCTAGACAAACTTCAGATAACAGCTTAAAATATTACCTTATAATTTCATTTTGCTTAAGTGGCGCAATTTCACTACAACAGCCAAAAAGTCGCTTTTTTCTCAACTCAACTAAAGAAGTTTCACTTTGTTGGTATGCGCGAGTAAATTCAGTCGTAATCAGATTTGAAAATTTTGTGATTAGCGACCGTTACAATCCAACAAGTATTCTTGCTCGCGCGCACATCTCATGATCGAATATGCCCCTCTAAAACCGGGATTTTCCGAGGATATGCTCTGAGTGACATTCGCCAATTTTCAAAGGTATAACTACGACGATAAAAGAGTTCGTTGAAAATTTTATTACAGATATAAGAGCATTTAGCTATTTTTAAAAATGAAGGGACAAATTTGTCTGTTCATACCGTGGTACCAGAGCATGCCGTGCATATTTTCGCGCCTAATGGTAGCTATTGTTCATTTAATGCCCGAGCAAAACCCCACTTGCAATTGTGGATTCAGTTTCGGGCTAAACCAGCTGAACTATCGTTTCTCGGCTCAAGATAACCATTTGCATCGAACGAAATACATCTGCAGTGGTTTGGAGTGAATGAGTCGTTTTTTGAGGAGAAAGCTGAATTTCAAGTTTCCAATCATTCGCTTCCTTTTAAGAACGTTAGATATCCGGAGAGAAAAAGTCGATGAGATCGGGAAACAATGAAGTGGGTAACTCTGAGTGAAGTAAATTAAATTATTGCGCGCAAAATTCTTGGCTGCGACCTAGGCTTCTGGCATATCTTTACTAAGTAATAGTATTGTTATGTTACGACATCATGACGACACAATTGTTTACCGTGAGTAACCATAACAACTTCTCAGACAGAAATCATTTGCAATTTCGAGTTAAACGTGTATATCTTGGAGGGGAAAACATGAGTACTTCGTGGATAAACTACGTGTATAAACAGTTCACTGGGGAAGAAGACAATGAACGCGCAACCAACTCATTGGATGTCCTTTCTAAAGCCAATATCTGGTTCACAGATCTTCCAACAAATAACTTAGGTCCGATTGAGGAATCATTCGGGGCGCGCAAGATGACTAAAAAGGTAGGTGCCTAACTTACACTTCTTTTCTTTTAATACATTATTTGAAGACTGTTTAGAGATGAGGAGACTGATGGGACAATATGTCAATCAGTTTTTAAGTTTAGGACTTTGCCTTTTTCTTTCTTTCTCTCTTTATTTTGTACTCTATCTTGAGATGAATCAAGCGCGCGGAAATGCTCTTCAACTACGACGCACCGATTTCGTTTTCTTTTGAACAACGTTATTGAAGGAAAAAGTTGAAAAAATTTCTCCCATCTATAACAAGTAAACAAAACAGGCTCTAAAGGTTAGTTTGGCGATCATTTTGTTATGAAGAGTATTTAACCATTTAAGAAGTCAGACTAAATTATAGCTGATTTTGCAACACACCCAATCTTTGTTCTTTGAAAACTCAAATTTCAATTATTGTGTGTTATGCACCTTTGCGGAGTTCTCATGGTCGGCGTGCTTTAAAACGTCCTGGCTCGATATGTTATGTTATAATATTATATGTTACAATGTTTTGTATATAAAACGTCAAATGTGCTTAATCTTATTGAACTAGAGTAAGAAGGATAAAGAATTGGAGGAAAAGATGGCAGTCCTTGAACAACAATACCAAGGTAAGATATCTTTTTTTTCCAACTTTAATCCAAGCTGGTGGTCGATGCAGACCAACGCAATAGTGAGTGGGCGAAGAAAACGCTGGAAACAGCAGAGATTGTTCCTCATATTTCTTAGCGCAACTCTCGCCGTTTTTGGACAACTCCCCCCCCCCCACGCCTTTTTGCCTCCACTGTCTGAGAACTCATTAAAGGTAATTGCTCTCAACAAAGAGAATAATCATCCAATATGCAGGCCTTTGTCGGTTTTTGTCGTCAAATCCGCAATAAAATAAAGTGATGAAGGTGTATAACTATCGATTATTTGAAAGCTTAGTCACTTGCGGACTGAAACACATCAAGGTATTCGTGAATGATATGCTGGTTACATTGAAACAACTGATCTGTCATTAAATAAGACTGACCGAGTCACCGACTGACCGACTGACCAAGTGACTGACTGAGTAACTGCCTGACTGACCGAGTCACTGCTTGACTGACTGACCAAGTGACTGACTGAGTAACTGAATTACTCACCGAGTGACTGACCGATCGACTGACTGACCAAGTGACTGAGTAAATGAATGACTGACCGAGTGACTGACCGATCGTCTGACTGACTGACTGACTGACCAACCAATATATGGTTTGACTTATCGACCGGATGACTGAAGAAAGGACCACGTTTATTGACTGTCTGTTTGTTTGTCTGTCTGTCTGTCTTTCTGTCTGTCTGTCTATTCAGCCGTGATCCCCGATTGGTATGACGTGTGAGACGTCAGAGCTTAGTCAGTTGACTATTGGCTCATTGCTTATACTGACCATCTAACTTTCTAAAGCATATCAGAGCACCATTCCCTGAATTCGGTTAGACAAGACAGACAATCATACTTTCAGAGGATATTTGAGACAATGTGGTTATTTACCACTGAGCCAAGCTTTTATAACTACTTTAGAGAGAGAGAAAGAACTGCTGAAAAGGAACTCTGCCTTGGAAAATCAACTGAAAGAATCACATGAAAAAATGGACGATCTACGCATTCAGCATAAAAAGGAAAACGAGTCTCTCCAGACTGAAATTCAAGACTTGAAGGACACTCTACTTAGGAGAGAAAAGTGTCATACAAGACAAAAAGATATTTTCAAAAAGATGGCAGCTAATGCCCAGAGGGAACTGGACAAAGCTCGGGCGGTCATTTCAAATCTCTCTGAAGGGATGAAGGCCTGTGAAGGTAAGTCTTATGCATAAGGTAAACTATTCATTCATTTTTTTCTCAGTACAAAACTGATCATAAAACGTGCTTATGAACTAAATATTGTTGCCTTCAATCAAAAGTTTTGTAGATAAGCACAGATAAGCAAAAAAAAAAACGTTACAAATGACTAAACAACAACCCGTAAAAAGATATTTAATACTTAAAAAAAAAAAAACACGAGGTTAAAACTTCCTCCACATAATATGTAGTAATTTGCAACGTACGATATCGGACAAAATGTTTGGGACACAGTCGGTTCCACCCCTCCCTGATCTTCCCACAAACAATTAGGAGCCAACTGATTCCTCAGTCGGTTCTAAATTGTTTGTGGGAAGATCGGTGACCCACACGTTGGCTTTAGAAAGGACATCCAATTAACTGAATGCTCGTTCACTTCTTGTACAAGCACATTACAGGCGAAGAAGACAACTTGTCCTCTTCTCCAGTAATCTGTTTGTACCAGAAGTTTAGAACTCCACCTGACGTTTATGATATCCAAAAACTACTCATGTTTACACCCGTAGCTATAATCGTTTCATTCGAAATCGCAAATCTTTCCAGTCTGAGCAGTTATTATAGTTGCGCGCGGTAAACAGATGGCGTAGTCACGGTGTCGTAACATGATTATTTAATCACATCATGAAGACAAGCGAGAAACCTGGCTGGCAGCCATGAAGTTTTCATCCCAGAATTCAATTTGCTTGACTTAAACTTAACCTAAGCAAAATCATGTTTTAAAAGCATCATTCTTGAAAGTCATCTCTGAGTTAAATTATTTACATTTTAAATAAAATGATCAAAACGGTGGCGAACACCCAGCACTCCTTGGACAATCCTTGTCCAAGGAATGAAGCTGTTTGCGTCTATTTTGTGAACGTTAACATTTGGAAGATTGTTGGAGAATGTGCAAAGAAGAAGAGGAAGCGAAGGAGTCAATAAAATGGAAATATAGAAATGCAATTGATCTCTGATGACCTAAGCCTTTACAATCGCCAGAAACTCAGATAAAGAATTATTAAAAATGATGAACTCTTCCTTGCGTGGTCAACTTAAGAAGATTCCATTGAGCTGGAAGAGAAAATAAAAAGTGATTAAACATACTGAAGAAATCTTCATTGGACGTCAAATCTTTCTCTGTTGGACTTGGCTTTCATTAGGGGGAGATGTGGTTTATTTTTGGCAAAAGGAATTAATCAAATATACGATTTTATGAAAACTTGAAGGATGTGGCTGAAAGCAATCTGAGATATTTCAACGTGAGCGAAGTTTGTATTTTCTCTGAGGAGCTTTTAAATTCTGTGCCTGACTACTAGTAATAATTAAATGTCTTGCTTACTGAATGGCATCGTAATATTCCCGTATTTTTGTTCATTTCAGCGACTCTTTTTGCATCAAAGGAGACAATCAGTGAGAAAGATCAAAAAATTAAACAGCTTACATCTCAGCTAAACAGATATGAAGATCTGATAAGAAACTTAACGATTGATATGCGGAATTATCACAAGAGCCTGCAGAAAGCTGCAAACGATGTTGACAAAATGAGTGAAAGACTGGAGGTTTCTCTAGGTATGTGTAACATAGCGGGTTAATACTTGGCAACACAAAATTAAGCAAAACACGATTTTTAACAAAGGTAGCTGGTAATTTATTTTATTGCGTCCATCGAAAGAAAAAAAAAAAAAAAAAAAAAAAAAAAAAAAAAAAAAGAAGAAAATCCAGACAAACAGAATTGTTAACCAAGAAATGGAAGAAACCGTTTTCTCCATGTTAACTATTTGGTCCTCATGGCGGTGGCTGATGCCGAAGAAAAAAATATAAGAATTGTCAGGTGACAATCTATATCGTTTTTTATCAGTTGAAAAAGCGTTTTCTGTTCTTTATGTTTGATTTATTAGTTTTATTGCCATTTTCAGCCGTTAAGAAGAAATTGTTGAGGAAAAACAGATGCCTCGAGGAAAAAGTTGTCATTATGGAAGAAACAATGACAAATGCCGAAGCAAAAGTAAAAGAATTGTCAGGTGACTTTTTTTTTTCGTTTTTTAGTACTTCCTGAAGTAATTTAAACTATCTGTTTTAATGACATTTTTCACCAGATAAGTCCGAATTATTAACGAAGAACGCTTGCCTTGAGGACCAAATTGCTGAAATGGAAGAGACCGTTTCTTCCATGTTAACAGTTTTGTCCTCAAGGAGGTGGCTAATACCGAAGCAAACATGGACGAATTGCTCGGCAACAATTTATTTCACTCTTTACTACTCGAAAGAGTGTCTTCTGTTCTTGAAGTTTGAATGATTTATTTTCTTTCTCTTTGCAGAAGTCAACTCTAAGTTGGTTGAGAAGATCAGTTTCCTTCAGGATGAGGACAAAAAGATGCAGTTTGATCTTCAAGAAAGAAGAAACAAGGAGAGGCTAAACGACAAAATGGGTATGATGAACCATTTAAAGGAAGATCTGAAAACAAAACGTACTGATGTGACAGTAGAAATACTAGGTTCGTGAAGCGATCTTATGAATAGATAAACTTAGCATAACTTCATTAATGAGACATGAGATATTTTCCGCGTGCGATTGGCATAACGCGACCGAGTTAAAGTGATGAATATCTATTGATATTACAAGGGGGTGGTACAAAATTTTAAGAGAACGTCCAGTGCAATGAAGGTCGTTCTATAATTGTTGATTCAATCAGAACGTTTTTGTCCTTGACACTAATAAGGGGATGAGCTTATTTGTTGACAAAATTGCTTTAAAATTTCAATCCCCGTTTTATAAAGTGAGTTGTTGGTAAACCCTTTGTGTCGTGCATTTCAAAAATATATTGAAGAATAATAAACGAGAAAGTCTTTATTAGGCTTAAAAATATGAAGGTTTATTTTTCCTTTCAAATATCTAAAACTCACAGTCTTCCTCAAAATTTGCTTGTAGCCTGAATATTTGCCCTTTGTAATGGATGATACTTTACATACTTTAATTATACAAAATAGTAGTAATCCATCAAGCCGAAAAAATTTGGATGTACGACCGTACGACCGTACAGCCTTACGACCTTACGGCCGTAGAAGGTGCTAATTTTAACATGCGTGGTCAACTGTACCGCGGGCACGTCAACGCCACGGCTTTGTTCAGTAGTCCAGTGGTCGATCCGGGTTTTAGTCCAGGCCGAGGCAAGGCGTTGTGCCCCTGAGACGTGCGGGAAAAAAATGCCAGCTTCGCTTTTAGGCTTGGCTAAATCTATATATTTTAATTCATAAGAGGTACGCGTGGAACAGACTCCGATGAACATATAGGCATATTCGATGTTGGAAGGGAAGTTGTTGCATACGATGTCTGTCAAAACTTAAAGAAGGGGTTTGTGTCGGAAGTATGTCCAAGTTTTAATGCGTTCAATTTTTTTTTTCTTTAGCCGGTGTCTACGACGGCCTGCAACCTACAGAGCTCAATGTGAAAAGCGGGGACTGTTTTCTCCCAGAACAGAAAAGTACTGTGCTTATAAAAGAGACAGAAACGCCTAAAGGCGATGAAGCAAATATAAAGAAGACAGTAAAAGGTGTTGATAATTTAACATTTTGTTGTAATTGTAGTAACTTGTACTTTAGTTATTACGTAAGATATTATTGACGCCTCTTATCTCTTGTGGGGAGAGGAGGAGGGAGTGGGATGAGAATGTTTTCAGCATAGACTAGCCAAGTATTTATCGAGTAAAAATGTTACAGAATTATTTCATTTCTCGTCATTTCAGTTAAAGAGAACAGCGAGCCTCGCCCGTCAATGTTATCATCTGCAGCCAGAGTCTCAACGAGTGGAACTTTAGTGCAGGACACCTGTCTGAGAAAAAGGCATAGAAGTGATCAAAGCAAGGGATTCAGTTACGACAGCAAAACAGCTGATCCGTTGTCCATGCCTACCGCAGGTAAGAGCAGTGAAACACATTACCAAAAAATAAACGAAGAAACAAAGCAAATGGGAAACGGGTTTTGTAAAAATCTACTAATCTCATTGGGGTCTCTTTCAGACAAAGGTGGCCCCATCAGGCACCATCAATCACCCCTCCCTCCCATATTTGCACGACTATCTACATCTGAAGTAGGCCGAGCTAAAAAGGATGACGACTGGCTGGTTAGGAAACAAGGAAACTTTCTACCTTTCTCCCCAAAGGGTAAGTGATATTTCTATGAAAATGCTATTTTCATATATTTTCCAGTTTACTACAGACAAAAGTTGTCAGAGTTTTGAGGTTCTTGGACGCCTTTCTTTCTTTGCAGTCGGTGGCTTTGATTACGATCCTGATCGAACTCTGCATGAAAGCCATTTAGAAGAAAAAGATGAAAAATATTTTGCAATGAAAGGAAACTCATCCTTCGAGGCGGAAAAAGGTATAAAATGTTTTGATAGAGACGGGTCATTATTCATCGCCTGAAGGGGTGGGAGCGGAGGATTTTGGTTGTATCAAAATGCAATGTAATTTTAAATACCCTAACGTTTACTCTGTTAGTGACGACTGATCTCCTTCCCCTCCCCCCCCTAAAAAAATCCATGTGATTCCTGGAAAATCTTCCGAAACTCGGAGAAGAAGAAAGCATCAGCATGTCAAAGTTTTTTTATGTTTTATTGATTTTCAATTTTTGTAGACGGAGCCTGTCGATTAGTAGAAGAAGACCATTCTAAGTATGATGAAAAGTCGCATGATGAGTCCTTTGTTAAGAAAATGTCCTCTGCTAAGATACGAAACTCATCTTTTGAGGCAGAAAAAGGTAATAATTCTTTGAAAATATCTTGTTATAGTTTTCATTTAGTATGTTCCATATCAGTGATATCAGTGACTTGGTGAGGAAAAAATTATACCCTGTGGAATAACTATAAGGTTGTTTGAAAATTTTGAAAACCCTGAAAAAGAGTTACGTTTTTCTTTCTTCCTATTTTGCCTTTAAAAAATGCAACTTAGTGGTGTAGTATGAAACTTTTGAGAGAGTTTTATCTCGCGGATTAGTCATGTTTTATGTCTTCTCGCCTTTTTAGTGGGTTTAGAAAAGTGTGCATGGATATACTGACAAATTAGATTTACCTGACCCATTTGAGAAGTCAAAAGCAAGAGAATCTTGCCAAAAGTCATCCTCGTTGGTTCAAATTGTTTCACAATGTTGGTGGGAAAGTTTTCGGTCACAAAATCTTCCAAAACTCAGAGGAGAATACAGCATCAGCACGTCAGAGTCTTAATGTCTTTCAATTTTTGTAGCCGATGCTTGTCGATCAAAAGAAGAAAGCCATCGGTCATGTAAGACAAATGATGAAAAGTCCTCTGCTAAGAAATGCAACTCATCCTTGGAGACGGTAAAAGGTATGAGTACTTCAGTAAACAGTAATCTGGTAAAGAAGAAGAAAATAAAATTAAACCCTAGTTGCTTAACAATCAGAGGTCCTTGTTCGAACCTAATCTTGTTCCCAGATTCTCTCTTGTAAAGGAAAAGTAGACTTGTAGGGCGTTAGTGTATATGAGCCGAGTGCACTTCTGTACTTCGGGAAAATCTGCATAACTTATTCGTTCTTCGTAATTCCGTAAGAATACTTCCAATTATGGCGTGAACACTATATCTTTTACCGGAGCCGGGGCCAGAGACTTTTTCCAGATGAGTTGCGTCCCCCTATTGTGGAATAAGACTTTCGTTGAGGTTCGTCACTTTTTCGCATATAAAAGATCTTTGGCTAATTTTAAGATGTGCGATTGTTTGATTCTTCGTAGCAGAAACAATTTTTTTATCGTTGTTATTTTGCACTGAACCATGGAATGGTTCGTTTATAGCATTTTTTTAGGGTACTAATACCGCTCCGTGCGTTTTAGGGAAGTAGTTTTAAGTATCATAGTACCATACAGTTGACTGAGATTCTCTACAACACTTATTCCTTTCTTTGTTTATACAGATGAGCTAGGATTCTTTGGCAAAGTATTTTGGGCATTTTTACATCACGCTCCTTCAAAGCTATAGGTTTGTCTGCCTGTGTTTGAACCAACCTTCTTCCCTCTCAGGTACATCATCTTTTTTTTACTCTGGTATTCATCTGTCTTCCCATATTTGTATTTCACGGTTTCCCTCATTCTGTATGCTTTAAATGGGTCTCGAAGACTTATTTGACAGGCTCCTCGACGGCAGTTACTAGATACTGTGGTTGATTTTTAACATATACTGTAATTTACGACGGTCGATTTCGGCTAACTCAAGTGATTGAGGGAAATACCTAAAAATACTTTCATTTGCTGCTTTTGATTCCTTGAGTCGTTTTGTTCACAGTTAGATAACATAACAAAAGTCTCACTTATTTTAGTTTTGTGTATAGTCTCGAGTAATCTGGTGGGTTTTTGAAACGGTTTATTACTTTCTGCCCCTTTTCACTAAAGTGTCACTCCTCCAGATACAAATGAATCATTTCCTTTAAGACATGCTGCTGATCACAGCTCATGTATCTATTTTCTTATCTTTTGTGCAGGTTTTCAGGACTCGTCCTTGCAATTATCAATTGCAACTCAGTTAATTTTGTAAATAGTTGTAAAAATGTTGTGATATGAGGATTTGCAATCAGTATATCTTGTACATATTTATATATCTTGGAAAATTTAATGGGCATACACTTACATGCCATTCATGCAAATAAATTTTTTTCTTGTTTCATGATCTGTTTGATATGTGTTAAGTGGCAACATTCCGATGGTCTGGGTATAACAACCATTTTCTTTTCCGGGTTGGAAACAAGATGGACTTCTTCGTGTCATAAAGGCCATGTGCTATTCTTTCAAAATGATAAACTTCAGTTTTTAGTCGAAATGTTGTGTTTTGATCAGTAGTGATAAGTGCGGAGCCAAGAAAGCATACATGTACTCCACTGGTCAGAGTTAATTTTGGGGTCGCTTTTACTACCCTTTACTGATACCGAAGGGGTCAAAACGTCCTATCATGGAGAATCGTGTAAGATAAGAACTGGCTGGGACCTTCTATTTATCCTGCTGAACTGGGTTCTCCTCTTGCCCTCCCCCCCTCCAACACATTAATAGGAGTACAAGGTATTCATGGACGTATGGGCGAGTCTTAAGGTCCCAGGGAAAGATTCACATACAACACCCACACATCGAAAAGCCACGAAGGATTTCTCGATCCCTTTATAATATTAGCCACGAAAAGATCAAGATAGAAAGGAAGAAGAAAAGAGTCAAGGTATGAAAGCATCGCTATAGACCAAAATTATGAGAAATATCGGGGGTGAAGAATCACAATTGTCCAAAAATGATCGTAAAAAATGATTTTTATATAGAAAGTCACGGTCGCTGATTTTGCCCTTTACAATAAAAATAGGTGGGGCATTTGATTACAATGTTTCCCCCGGGGGGCAGGAATTTGAAGGAACCAATCCTCAAAAGTTCAAATGCTCGGGGGGTTGTCCGGGGTTGGATGTTGAAGCTTTGAATTGATCGTCGCATAGTGTCGAAGACGGAGGGAGACGGTTCTCGGTGGTAGTTGTCCGCTTATGTTTGCTAGATGGCGGTTTAATGGATAAATTTGAAGATTACGACGCGGTTAACTTTGTTAAAATTACCGCCATTTTTACTGAGGTCAATTATTGCTATGGTTTTATTGGTGCAGATGTTAATCTGTGGTGACCCCCGTAGTCCAGGCGATGTTTGTCCTTTACGTTGCCCATCATGCTCTGTATTCTTTTTTCTCATGACGCTTTGCATCATGGATAATCTTGCAGTTTCGAAGATGGCGGCGGTTTTCAAACCAATAATTCGATGGGCTCAAAGCAAGGAGCGAATATTTTTAACACTGGAGTTGTCAGATGTTCAGGTTTGGTAATTGCTACAAAAAATTATTGTAGTTTATATCTAACCGTTCGTGGTATTCCATTTACAATTTGTGCAATTCCTCTTGCAGTATCCAGCTGTAGAACTGACTGGTAGCCGGTTGGTCTTTCAAGGTAAGCAGGCCATTTTACATCATGTATTCCAAGGAGCGATAATATCAGTCCTTGTTCTTACTAAAACCCAAGTAGCTAACAATGTAGAGAAGTATAAGAATTTGAAAATATCTCTACATTCATGACTTCGAAGCTGTACGTACACTGTACCTGTTGTAATTTAAGCTGTATCCATGCTGTTTTCTTTCGTTTCCCAGCCTACTTAAAGTAATGTTGTTTTTATTTTCACAACACTATTAATCCTTAGCAAGGGTTTGATCACATTTTTTAAGTGCTAAGGCATCCCTGTGAGATACATTTTAAAAAATTAAAACCAGAAGTGAACTCCTTCATGCCCCATGTGAAGTTACATGTGTGTTGTTAATGCAGGTAGTGAAACTTTTTTTATCCTGGTGCTGGTACCTAGGTCCTACCTTCTTATGAGAGCTGAGCCTTTATCTCCTAGATGTGGTCGGCATGTTACTTCTCCTTACAATTTTATTATGTAAACCAGTAAAAAGTTGACAATACAAAACTAATTCATTAATAAGCATGAGGGTACCATTGACAGAGGAGCAAATTCTCCTTACTCGCTTCTAAGGAGATGTGCAGGAGCAAGAGCAGGTATAAATTAAGAAATTATCATCCGAACCTAGGAGTTGAATGGTGGTTAGCCTTAGATTTTGAGCAAAGTCTGTCCCTTTTTGATTGCTTTAATTTTGGTAATGCATGCTGTTTCCTTCTCTTAATTTACTGAGGAATAATTTCAGGGTCTGTGAATATTTGTGTTACAGGATTTGGTCATGGAGCCAGAGGGGAACAGCAGTACCATGTGGACATTGATTTCTATAAGCCTGTTGATATTACAGTGAGTCTTTGTTGATATTTGTAGACATTTTTTTTTTATAAACTAAGTTAATTTTGATAATTGTGATTTACCTGTTGTGGAGAGTTTAGTCATGTTTTACTTACGTTGAAAACAATTATGGTTGTCAATTTGATAACGTGATTAATTTAATCATTGACTTATAGGCAAGCAGTCATAAAGTTCTGGATCGTCATGTGGAATTTTCCATTGCTAAGTTGAAAGGGCAGCAGGGTAGGTGCTATCACTAACAGCAGTCATCTTGTTGGAATTTAGTATGGAGTCAATGCATGTATTAAGAACTTTATTGATTTGTAGTGGACTTTATTGATTTTATGCACTGTTTGTGCTGTGCTCAGAGTTCTGGCCCCGTCTTATTGTGGATGAACAAAAGCCGGCCTGGTTGAAAGTCAACTTTGATCGATGGCAAAGTGAAGATACATCTGATAGTGAAAAAGATGAACTGGAAGAACAAGCTAAACTAGAGGTGAATAAAATCAAACACAGGTCACTGTTGCATTGGCTGAAATGATGATTAAGATAACTTTTTTAAAACTTTAGAACCCCAAAGTAAAACAGAGATTGATCAAGACAAATTTCAGGGAAGATTTCTTGTTCTGAGCATGTCACATGAAAACTGTCTCGCTATAACTAGGAGTTTTAACATTTTTGTTTTATTTAATTATCACCTTGTCAGCATAGCAGCTTGGGTTTGTGTACAGGAAAGCACTGGACAGTATAATTTAGTAATATTCAAAGTGAAATTGTGTACAAATGCTTCAAAAAATATGTATTTAATCAACCAATCAAGAAACCATGAGTTCTGGTAATTAGCCACAAACAATAAATTTTTTTTCACATTTTTTTAAACTTGACAAGAATTTTTGAGTATTTTTACTAAAACAGTGTACGGTATGACTGACAGTTTTTTTATGTCCTCTCAAAATGAAAATTTAATCTTATGGAGTTCATCATTAAGAAGCAAACTTAAAAAAATAGTTTGGAAGTGATGTGTAACTAATAAATTTATGTTTGTTTTCAGAACTTGATGACTAATACCAAAGCCATGGAATTAGATCTGGACAATGAAATAGAGAAAACCAAACAAGAAGGTATGCATTCTTCTAATGTCTCCCAAATTGCAAAGCATTATGATCACAACTTTTGAAGACAGTGCATCAAGGTCCTTCCCCTTTTTCATCTAATACTTCTTTAAACATCCCAAGAAATTATCAATAATTCTGTTAATTGCAAGATGGGGTATCCAGCTGTAACTTAAACCCTTAGAAACAGAAAAAGTGCACAATCTAAATGGTTAAAATTATTGGTAAACAATTTTTTAATCAAGCTTTAGGTCAAGGAGCCTGGACATCTTTAACATCCTCATGGCTTGACATGAGAAAAGAACCTGATGGATATCTAACTTTCTTGATCTTGTACTCATTCAATATGGATTTACTATTATAATAGCATGGTCAAAATGTAATATTCAGTAATCTCACTTTCTGATGCCTAAATTGGTATATTTGCCTATCTTGCTGTCATTTCAGTCTTTTTCTTGTGGTTAGGACAGTAATGTCTTAGTTTATGATTATAGTCTTAGAAAGTACCTGTTTATAGTGATTGACCTGATTAAACTAGAAGTGTTTGCTGTGGGTAGCAGTAATTATTAGAACTTAAGTGAAAATACACAGTTGTAATAAGGTGATTTTTAATGTTCCCTACATGTATCTACTTAACTTCTTAACCATCAAGAAATTTTGTTTTAAATCATTAATGTGAAAAACATAGGGTTTTTTTTTTTTTTTATAGTTTTCAGATTTACTCGAATATTCTACTTGGTTGTGTATAATCTCATGCAAGGAGGATTATATCTCTACATCACTTCAGTCCTTCTGTACAAAGCAATTTTTCAAGGAACAGGTATATCTTATTTGAATTCACTTTTTTAGTAGTTAGAAGAAATGCGTAATTATATCTGTCATCTGTCACTATTTTGATATCAAGTATCAGTCAGATGAGATATACATGTAGGGGTACCCATGTTTTCTATTAAAAATGCATGTTGTTTCTTGTAGGACTGGTACAATTGAAGGGTTTTGGTGCCTTATGCACTTATCAGCGGCCATCCCGGGGGGTTGACCCTGGGGACATACATGGGAATAGTGCAGGATTTGCTGACTTTTATTGCTAATTTTTGGCCCAGGACGGGGGCATTGGACTGCTTTTGTTGCTCTTTTGAAGCAAGATACATGGGGAAAGACCCATAGGATTTGTAACATTGCCACCATCTAATTATGCTCCCTGGGGGAGGGACAGTAGTAGCTTTTTGTGGAAGAATATTGGCCCTGGGTAGGTGGAATTTGCAAATGTCTTACTGCAAATGCCTGGGGGTTCCCCTGGGTCAACCCCCTGGGATGGCCGCTGATAAGTGCATTATGCTTTCTCAGTTTTTACCCTTCATCCTCTAACAGTGATGAGCATCTAATTTCTCCTCACATTATCACCAATATCATCAAACAGTGAGATTTAAAGGGCCATTAATGCTATCTATTGGATAAATTATTATCCAGTGGATAAACGATATATACTTTGCTATCAACCAGATAGTGATTTACCTAGTGGATAGTGTCATCCACCCTTTGAACAACTGGGTGTACATGTACACATAAGAAGTTAAAAAAACCTCTAGTTGTGATTACCACAGGGAATGTAGAGATCAGTGTGGAGAATATAAAATACTTATGTTAGGGAGGAAAAGGTTAATTATGGTTAACATTCTGTCCCATTCTGTCTCAAACTACTAATTAAAACACTTCCAATCTAACTTTGCAAATAGATTTTGGTTTGCTACTATTACTACAATATTCAGTCAAACTCTGGCAACCAAGATTGGTTTATATATTGCATTTGACATTTTAGATGCCTTCTCTGAAGCTTATGACTCAGTCAGTGATGTACTAGCCTCATGTCAGTTGGCAGCCTTCTTGGAGGTTATTCATCCTATGGTTGGTATTGTCAAGACTGGTGTACTGGCTCCATTCATGCAGGTATATTTTAAAGTTTATAATTAAAAGTACATTTTTTTGTAAGCTTTTGAAAATACCAGTAAATCATGTTTGACTTGTATATTTAATAGATTGTAGCTAACAAGTTGATCCTGTCAAGGACAACCAGGTGAACAAGTTTGACAGGTTACATATGATGTTCACTGATTATCTGTCACTCATTGGTATGACCATTTGTTGGCAGTGATGGAGTACACTGTAACTTCTTACACATGCAGGCATTCTAATTGTTCAAGACAATCATGCAATCCTCTCCTAAGAGTGTCAATTACTGGAGCTTTGTAATTCTGATGTGATACTGTCTAAATATAATTTCTATGTATACTAAATAACCTTTTTTCTTAAACCTCAATTACAATGTACTTGTACTTCTATCCAATCACTGAGCAATGTTCATATTTAATTTTTTCTAACAAAGCTCAGAATTGATCATCTTAGCTATCACACAGAGCTTCTAACCTTTGTCTACAATTTAATGCACTATAGAGCAGACTGAGTGTGAATATAATTCACTGCTGACTTCTCTTGATGAGAGATTATAATTGAGGTTCTCTTTTATACTATTAGGTTTTTGGTAGAAACTTGGTTCTTTTCTTGGTAGTGGTTGCAAATAAAGAGCTCCATAAACTTACAGCTGTATATGGTCTTTTCATTGTATGGTCTCTTATTGAAGTTGTACGGTAAGCCCTTTTTCAAATCTTTGTGAAAGTATTGATTTAGTGACTACAGATGGTTAAAATTGGTCAGCATGTGTAAATAAGGTAATGCTATTGGCATTTCAGCATTTAACTGGCTAGTGCTGTTTTGACATAGTAATGATACTCAAATCAGAGCAGGATCTTGATGTTAATTGACATGAGTGATTTTTGAGCCAAACATGATAGTAGGAATTTCAAGGCCACTGTTCAGGTTATAGCATTAACTAAGACCTGGATAGTTTTTTCTATCTTTTGAAAATTGATTGCAATAAATTTCTTGTGTTGCATGTACAGTGTATGAAAACACCTATGTGTGACATCTTATGTTACGTTTCTACATGTAAATGTTCATGATTGTATGTATTGAATGAAAACTATGATGGTGCATTTTGATGTTTTGATAATTCAGTTGAAGAAATTAAATTTATGTAAACTATATTTTTTTTACACTATTCTGTGGTGCTTTTGTGTTTAAGGTACCCATTTTATGCCTCCGAGATCCTTGGCATAAGGATTGAACCCCTGATGTGGCTTCGATATACATTATGGATTCCTTTGTATCCCCTCGGTGTACTCTTTGAAGGTAACTTAACACCAGATCATTAATTTATTAAGCAATATTTCTGTGGTCTGGTATTGTTCTTCAAGCATTACACTGCCCCCTACCATTTTTATGTCCCAAACATTTGTCTTCAGCATTGATTATTTTTGTTACAATCTTGCAGTTACTCTCATATGGAAGGCAATTCCTTTACTGGATGAATCTGAGAGATTTTCTGTCAAACTACCAAATGCATTGAACTTCAGTTTTAGCTTTGCATGGTACCTCAGAGTATATCTTGTCTTTCTTGTTATTGGTGAGTATGCCTAGATCAAATTTCAATGACAATGTACAGAAAAACCTTATTTTGATGAGGAATTTGAACTGGTACATCAGGATTGATTCAATTGTAATTACTTTCAGAGACTAATTGTGTTTTTTCTCCAGGTGGCTGTTACATGATGAGACACATGTATGCCCTACGACAACGAAGATATGGCAGGAAGAAAACAAAAACAAAATAGCAACCTTCTCCGTGAATAATACCTGCAACATAAAGGCCTAATCATGCCTGCCAAGACTTTAAAAGTCAGATCTCTTTCAAAAATTGTTGATGATTCTTTTAACTACAAAGAAAACAATTATACAAAGGCACAGCATGCTGTTCAGTGCTGCAGTTTTGGCTGTGGCAAGCTGACAAGTACTTACATGTTTCATTTAATATATCAAAGGAAAGTCAGGTTACACCGAAGATTGATAAAAGGTTACATTTAGAGACTGTGTTCCACATGGCTACTGTAAATACAATGTTTAGCATCCGTGGTCAGGAAGAACTATCAATGAAAAGTTATTCCACCTATAAGTTTTCTTGATTTTATTGAAGTAGACAACCTTAGTAGGTAGCATTTCTGCTATTTTTATTTGGGGTAGAAGTGTGTTTTCAAACAGCAGTTGGTGATCAAGAATATAATTTTGGCTGAGAGTACCATAAAAGAAGTATATCAAATCAGTGGGTTTCCTATAAGGTTAACATACCCCAGGTACAATTCTGACGGTTGGCAAGGAAGTATTGCCTAGATATATTGAGTAACAGTTAAGTAAAAGACTATTCTGCCAAGATGGAAGGACACAAATACAGTTGTTACAAGAATCTGCCACAATTCTAACTTACAGAGTCTCAACAAGGTTAACTTTATGGCATTTACTTTGGATTTAAACAATTTTTTTTTACCAATGTTTTGACTTCAGTTATTGATGTAACTGTGTTAATGCAATATCCCCTCCTAAAAATTCATTTATACAGTATTTATACTGTATCTACCAATAACAACATCGAGATTCTTGATGCTAATGCAGGTAACAAATATATTTAAGCATGCAACTTATAAAGGTTACAGTGTTTATCTACAAGAATCTGCCACAAATATAACTCACAAAATCTCAAGGTTAGGATTAGTGCATTTACTTTAGATTTTTAAAAACAAATTTTTTAATATTTTGACTTCAGGTATTGATATAACTGTGTTTAACTGTTTCTCATTTTCAAGATTTTTTCTGACATGCTTTTAAGAAATATTTTAAAGCAGAATTTAAAAGTTCATAAGTTAATTGACAAGCCACTTTGACATTTTAGACTACTGACTTTCTCAGTTAGCAATTTTAAGTATAGCCACCAAATTTTAATCTTGATGAAAGTCATCTGAACACCATCCCAACCATTGTGTTTATATGGTAATAAAATGTAAATATAAAAAGCTGTGTCACACTGTTCCTTAGGTACAGTTATGACGGTTGTTAGAGAAGTATTGCCTAGAAATATTGATTAACAATTAAGCAATAGACTATTGTGCTAAGATGTAAAGACACAAATGCGGTTTTTACACTTAATGTGACAACTGCATTTATGTACTTGCATCCAATCACACCAATCCACCAATAAGAGTGCCAATACTATCTTAAATATTTTGCAATTTTATATGAAAGGTTTTTTAAACTCCCATGAGTGACCAAGTCAGAATTTCTCCTTCCAATATCAATAAAATATCAACCAGATAAGTGATGAGAAGAAAGAAAAATATCAATTTGGGGATAATTAGTTGAACCAATACTAAATTATCTCAACTAACATTATAAGAATTGTATGGTTGACAGTAAGGAGAGGTATAAAATTAAGCTGGGAGTTAAAGGTTAACAACACATGTAAATGAGATCATGGCTGAAAATTGATACCGACTGTTTGTCTCAAGAGAGGTAACAACCTCTTAAAGTTTGCTGCCTCACCTCTAAATATATTATTTGTAAGCAATGATCTGAAGATCCTTTGAAACTTCATTCAAATAATTAAGAGGCAATCAAACAGGTCAGTATTTGTGAGTGAAGAACAGTCAAAGCTTTATCAAAATTAGCACTTATAATGAAAAACTAGACAAGGGTGGAGCTACAGCCCAGGTCAATACAGTAGTAGTGACTCCAATGGGACAATTTATTCTCTCCTTTAGCTATCTCACCTCCTCTTATGGATAGTAACTTGAGTTGACCAAATTGCTGGTCAAAAAAAAAGGTAGAATAGTGGGTGAAAGATCTTTAAAAAATAACACATTGTCTGTACAAGGTTTAAAATCAGCTCTCTCCTGAAAAATTTAAGACTTATGTTGGTGGTTCAAAAAAAAAAAAAAAAAAAACCAAACAAACAAAACAATTGATTCGAAGGTATTCTTTATGGTGCTGCAATTTTTTCTTTTGCAAGCCACTAAGCACTTGCATATTTCATATAATAATTATATCAAAGAAAACTTGTGTAGCACTGAAGATTGAAAAAAGGTTACACCAGGAGACAATGAGTTCTACATGGCTTCGGTAGATACAATGTTCAGCATTAATAGTCAGGAAGAACTGTCGATTAAAAGTCATTCACACAAGTTTTCCTGATTTTATTAAAATAGAAATCTTGGCACAGCAGGTTGGATTCCTGCCATCTCTATTTGGAGTAGAAGTGTGCTTACTTCCCGAACAGCAGTAGGTAATCAAGACTATAATTTGACCCAGAGCACCATGTACATGTAAGAAGCATATCAAATTAATGAGTTTCCTACAAGGTTAATATAGAGTCACAAAATATGACAATGAATACATCCTAACTGGTTTCTCTGAGATGTGGACTTCTAATGCACAATTGAGCAAGTAAGTGGGGGTATGGAGTGAAAACTCAGCAAGCCAGTGGCATTCAAAGTAAACTTGTCCACATCATAAAAACATTTCTAATCAATGAATTATTTTCAAACTTTACCCTTGTGATTTAATATAACTTTGTACTCTAGGTGAGGATTCTCCCACTCTAATAATAACAGCTTCATTCTACACCTGCAGTCATGAAGACAGGTACTACAATATCTCCTCCCAAAATTCATTTATATCCTCCAGTAACATCTAGATTCTTGATGCTACAGCAGGTAACAAATACACTTAGCATGCAACTTATGAAGGTTACAGTGCTTATCTACAAGAATCTCCCACAATTATAACACACAAAATCTCAGGAAGGTTAAGTTTATTGCCTAGAAATATTGATACACAATTAGGCAATGGAATGCGTTTGTTACACAGAATGTGACAACTGTATTCATGTACTTTCATCCAATCATACCAATTAACCAATGAGAGTGCCAAATATTTTATAATTTTATATGAAAGGTTTAACAACACATGTAAATGAGATCATGGCTGGAAACTGTCTCAACTGTTTGTCTCCAGAGAGGTAACGATTTCCTCACAAAGTTCACTGCCTAATCTCTAAATACATTATTAGTAAGCAATAATCTGAAGATCCTTGAAACTTCATTCAAATAATTAGGAGGCAATCAACAGATCAGTTTGGAACTGTTTTTATTTCTAAGCAAATGTATGTATGCACAACTTGAGGATACACAAGAATTGACAGGTAACAAAAAGTTTTGAAGTAAATTGAGGTATAAGGAAGTATTTGTGAGTGAGGAACAGTCAAAGCTTTGATAAAATTAGCACTTACAATAATAAACAAAGGCGGGTCTACAGCCCGGCTTAACACAGTACTAGTGACTCACTCCAATAGGACGATTTACTCTCTCCTTTAGCTGTCTCACTTCCTCTTATAGGTAGTTACTAAAGTTGGGCAAAATGCAAGCCAAAAGAAAAAGTAGAATGTAGGGTAAAAGATCTTTGAGATATAACAACACATCTCCTTCTTTACAAGGTGAAAAGTCAGATCTCTCTTGAAAATTTTAGACTGATGTTGGTGGTTCATGGACAAAAAAAACCAATTGAGTCTAAGGTATTCTTTTCAGTGCTGTACTTTGTGCTGTGGTAAGCCAACAGGCACTCCCATGTTTCATATGATATATCAAAGGAAACTTATGTAACACTGAAGATTGAAAAAAAGGTTACACTGAGAGACAGTGTGTTCTACATGGCTTCTGTAAATACAAAGTTCAGCATCAACGGTCAGGAAGAACTATCAGTGAAAAGTTATCCACAGAAGTTTTCTCAATTTTATCAATGTAAATATCTTGGTACAGTAGGTTGGATTTCTGCCATTGCTATTTGGGGTAGAAGTGTGTGTTTATTTCCCAAACAGCAGTTGGTAATCAAGACTATAATTTGACTGAGAGCAACCTTATAAGAAGCATATCAAATATACAGTCGCAAAATATGACAATGAATACATTCTACCTGGTTTCCTCTAATGTGCAACTGGGCAAGTAAGAGGGGGTTTGGAACGAAAACTCAGCAAAACAGTGGCATTCAAAGTAAACTTGTTCACATCATAAAAACAAAATTTCAATGAATTATTTCCAAATCTTACCATATTGATTTAAAACAACGTTCTCCCCTAGATGAGGATTCTCCCACCCTAATAGCCACTTCATTCTACAACTGCACTTCTAAAGACAGGTTTATGACTGCAATATCCCCTCCTAAAAATTTATTTGATCCTTTGGTAACTACATCTAGATTGTTGAAGCTAATGCAGGTAACAAATTTATTTACCATGCAGTTTACTTAAGTTACATACAAAAATCTGCCATAATTCTGACTAAAAATCTCAAAGTTAGGTTTATTGCATTTACTTTGGATTTAAACAATTTCGTTAACTAATATTTTGACTTCAGTTAATGATGTAACTGAGTTTAACTGTTCTCATTTTTTAAAGTAGATTATTAAAGTTCACAGCTTAATTAACAAATCACTTTGACATTTTAGACCACTGACTTTCTCAGTTTGCAATTTTAAGCTGTCACCAAATTTCAATCTTGATGAAAGTCATCTAGACAGCTTCCCAACCTGCATGTTCAATGACACATGCAAATAAGATCATAGCTGGAAATTGATACAGCTGTTTGTCTCAAGAGAGGTAACAACTTACTCCCAAAGTTCACTGCCTCACCTCCTAATATATTCTTTGTAAGCCATAATCTAAAGGTTCTTTGAAACTTCATTCAAATAATTAAGAGGCAATCACACAGGTCAGTTTGGAACTGTTTTTATTTCTAAGCAAATGCCATTTGAGGCATGTAAATGTTTGTTTATAAACAATTTTGGGATACACAAGAATTGATAGGTAACAAAGTCATGAATTTAATTGAAGTATGCTATTGCATTTGTGAGTGAAAGACAGTCAATGCATTATCAAAATTGGCACTTATAATAAAAAACTAGACAGAGGTGGAGCCACAGCCTAGGTCAATACAGCATTAATGACTCACTCCAATTGGACAATTTATTCTCTCCTTTAGCTGTCTCACTTCCTCTTATGGATAGTAACTTGAGTTAGGCAAAATGCAGGTCAAAAAATTGGTAGAATTTAGGGTGAAAGAGCTTTGAAAAATAAAACACATCTCCTTCTTTACAAGGTTTTAGTTGAATAAGCTAAAACAATGAGATATAATTGATGATAAATTTTTCAAGTTATTTGTTTTTTCACAACTAGTTTTTTAAAGGAATTGCACTGGAGAGAGGGAGAAAAGAAGACAATTTAGAACCTGCTTTACTGCCATCTGGAGATATATTTCCTGATATGATAAGTTTAGGTCCCTTTATTTCATTTCAACGATTTTACATGTAGTTTAGGAGTCCACCAACCTGTTTTAGCATAAGACTGTTAGAGGAAAGATTTGTTTGAGCAAAGAGTTCCTTGGCAATTTATACATTTTAATACATTTTTTCCTACCTTTTCCACACATCTTGTTAACTAACTGAGTATTCTTCCTTTTAAGTACCATTTGCAGAGAACTATAGACATGCTTAAATTATGATAATTTAGTTTTATAAATAATGATTGTACATGGAAAATGTAGATATAAACATGCAGCTGGCACTGGTAAGCACTAACAACTAGTTTGAGAACTGGAACTCACCCTGCCAAAATCCTTGCCCTAAGCAATTGAATAAAAGAGCTTTAAGCAAATATTTTACCACATTACTGTACAATTACATAACAAAAAATAGTTTCTCTTCAGTGAACTACTTAACACAGAGTTAACCATTAATTCCATATCAAATTACAATAGCCACAACATCAAATGAACAAGAAAGAGTACATCTTATCAGGAAAAATAGTGCAAGTGTTTAAACTTTGAAAGCAAGTAAGTACTTATGTTACACTACTTCATAAAATTAAGTCAAGCATTATTACCTCAGAAGATTAATACACCATGATCATTTATGCTAACTACAAGTGTAGCTTTTAGTTTAACTAATGATGAAGTCTTGAGCACTCTCCAAACCAGAAGATTACTGATCCATTACAAGGTTAAACTCTCCACTTCTTGCACGAGTGTGATAGTCTGCTGCAGCATAGAGTGAGAATGGAGTTATTATATCTCTGAATACAATAATAGGGCACACATGTATGACATAGTTGAACAAATCACTATTATTTACAAAAAATTGAAAAATATTTAAGTCAAATTAAGGACAAGAACATCATGCAAAGACAGTATCTTAGTTATCAGGCAAAGTTAATGGGTTAGAAAATTTTAAACTCAGAAACAAGATTATTAATCCAGTTACTGATTAGATTTAGAGGTTAAGAGGGAATAAATAAACAAATTGACACAACATTTAAGTGAAATCTTTTAAATGTACAAGTCAACACAATTACGCATAATGTAACCAAGAAATTTTGAATAACCTCAAAACAAGCCAGACCAATTTAGGTCCTCGCAAATACTCTATGTTCACACTCTCTCTACATTTACACTGTATACACAATTCAGTCTGGCCCCCTTGTGAAAGAGACACTTAAATAGCCTCATGCAAGGGGTAAACAAACTGTGTTTATCAAAAAGAAACATACTTTCTTCAGGAAAATTTGGATCCAAAGTGATTCAGATCAAGACAAGTTAAAGAACATTAAGAGACCAATGAATCCTCTCCTAGAGATGACTTATCAGTTCCTTTCCTAAATCACGTCTCAGTAATATTGAATCAGTTAGCATAATCTGAATTTAATGCTGAGCATCTTGATCCACATAGATAAAAGAAGGTTACAAAAAAAGAAATGGAAAAGAAATAAATTTCACTAGACTTTCTGATAAATAGAGAGTAGCACCTTGCTACAATACTAACACAAGTTCGTACAGTTAAAATCATGGTATTGACCAACTGTTAATTTTTTAACAATCTTACAGCTTCAAACTGTCAAATGTTACAGACCCATAAACCAGCTGCTAGCAAAGGGTTTAAATACTATTATTAGTGTCACCTAACTTCCAACCAAAACAGTGTAAAACATTGTAATTTGTGACCAAATCTTCTTTTACTAGTCACTATGATTTTGTTGATTGTTTTTATGTACATGTATTAGAGCAAATGTAAAAGACTGGAAACTTCTAGATTGTTTAAAAATTCTTCTATCATTTATTTAGGATTCTAGCCATATGAAACTACACTGGGTTCATAGCAAGCCTTTACAGATAAATACTCAAAAAGAAGAAGCAGAGGTATTAAAATAACAGTACAAAAATGGTTTGAAAAGTTACACTCTGGCAAACAGTTACTACGAAGCTACTAAAAATGGACTCATTTGAATGCAAGGATCACAGATTATAAAACCAATTTGGTCAAACTCATGTTGCAGCTAAACAACTACCAGAAATGGAATGATGTGAAACGATTAAGTGTTAATGATGTGAAACAAACCTGGCTGTAAACAATGTTTACATGAAATAATTTAAAACTACCACAAAATTTCTTTCAGTCATTTCACCTGTAGTTGTCTGGAGATTTTAAGAGTTCCTGTCTGTACAAGAAGCATATTACTTAGCCATGAAAAGGTTATATGCTTCTAATATTGCATTGGGATGTGTGTCAATGTGTGCTTTCCACATGTTGTAAACTGATTTAACTAGAACAACATACCAATTTTACTGTCAATTCATCAACTGTAATTTCAGCTGAATTTGTCACTTATGATACTTTCCCTCCAAAATCACATCTTGGTGAAAAAATCTAATTAGAAGAGCAGTCAATTGGGGGTTATTTGATGTCCTGTATGAATATTATCAGCTTTCTTAATAACTTTACCACAACAATACTGTATATAACAAAAAAATTCCTAGAAGTACAATGTACTAGGATTTTCAGAAACAGATCAGTCTCCAGTCACCCCTATCCCCATGAAAAATTACTCTCCCAGCTACGATAAAGATTGGAACTTCACTTCACTGATAATATGACTGAATGGTCCACTTACATGTATACAAAACGCCGTACGTACAGTTGTGAGCTCAAACTTCCCCCATGCGTTTACTGCGTAATGATTGCAAAATAAGACGGGCAGTATACAACTTCACTGTTATCATTTACAGTGCTTTCAACGTCAAGGAGAAAGTAAACGATTTGTCGCAAATTCATGTTCAAAAGAATCATTCGACCTTAATTTACTTTCTATTTTGTGTGCTCGGATTTGCTCTTGAAAAATTTATTCAAAATAGACATATTTATAATACAGTTAAGAGTTTACACAGCTATAAAAATCGCTAGTTTGGCCTGTTAACTTGATTTTAAATCCACAATTCGCGAATATTACACGATAAATTAAAGAATTTTTCTACAATCTTTACCAAAATATAATTCTAAGATTCAGAAACAAACTACTGCTCCGATCCAAAAAGCGGATGTCAAGAAGTGCAAAATTATCAGTTGTTCAGTTTGCAGCTTAAAACTACCGTGTTACCGCCACTGGCGGCTGCTCTTGGCCTTCCACCAACTTACTAGGCACAGACGTTTTCCTGTGTGGGATGTTATCGGGTGTGGGGATGGCTTTTCCGACTCCAACGGGCAATTTTCCCCTGTTACCAATGGCCGCTGCGGCGGGACCTACTTTTTTCTCGCTCTTCGCCATGGCGTAATCGCCAGAATCAAAATATTTCACCTGAACGAGAAAGATACAGCATTTCAGAAAACGATAGACATTCGACAAGTCTATGAAGAGTGAAAGGAGTTTTAAAAGTGCTGTAAAAATCATACCCCTCTCTGCATTCTCTTTTTCAAAATATCAGTGGCAACTGGTTTCTTCCCCGGAAACTTGAGCGCCAGTTTCTGCTCTTCGGTGAGCTAAAAGACAGAAAATGGTGAGGGAGAAAGAAACAAATGACTAAACTATAGGTAGAAGCGAATGTTACCTCACTCGGCTTTTCTTCAGGGGCTGTTTCTTCACTCATCTTTCACGACGGTCTCTAGCTAAAATGGCGGACTTCAACTGCAATCCACCGAGCTTTCCAAATTTGGAAGAAGGTTCTTTACTTACATACCCCTGTCTGGAGAAAGATTTGAGAAATTGTCCGGGGTGGGGTTGGGGTGAGATGACTAGAAATTTTAAACATAGGCATGCGTAGCATGCAAGAGTTATCTTTTTTAGACGGGTGGGTTAAGATGGGGCACTTTGTGTACCTCATGTTTTCACTTTTGTATCAGAAAAAGAACATTATTTTAAAACGGACGGAAATATCGCATTACTTCACCTTAAGAGAAAGAAAAAAACCAAAATTATCTGAACTAACACGGGTATTTTGTGGTCTATTGTCTCTATTGTCTAAATACTTCTAGGCAAAAATAAAATGCATCGGTGCCACACTTACTGTTGTCTCCTTCGAAGCAGTTGTTTCGTCTCGTCACACAATGCCATCTATTCCCACACAATGCCATCTATTGTTGGAGAGAGAGTGCGTTGCGTGATGAGACCAAATAACGGTTGCGAAAGAGACTACGCTTACTACTGCCGTTCCTTATATTATTCGTCTACAGTTAGTTGCCTGAAAATATAATTCCACGTAATTTTACTAAGAAAAGCAAAATGAAACTCTGTTGTATCTCTAGTCGTTCGTATTCTATTGTTACATTCAGTCACTCAAAAGGACAACGTTATGGCTTCGCCTCTATGAGAGGTAGTAGCTATAAAAACGTACCGTGGGCATGGGGCGAAAGTAAGCAAATTCTTCTAAGAAGAAAAAGAAAAACTGCTGTGAGTCCTTTTCTTCATAATTTGAAAATATTGATAATCTAAGAATTAAGAAGCTGTTTATTCATAGCGGTCACAGTTCGCTCAGTAACATCATTCGCAAATTCGGGGGTCATGCACAAGCTATCTTTAAACGTTGAAACGAAGATAACAAGACTCCAACAAGTGCAAGATGTTATAATAATAATTATTCACCAAGTACTTGACAAAAGATATCGAAGATATTATGAATGACGTAGATTACTCATTAACATCTCGATGTACATTATGTAGAAACAGTTGGCGAATATCTGTTTCGCTTTCAGAACAAGATATCATGTCGCGGAAGGATGACAAGGTATTTAACTTAAGCGTTTTCATATAAGTAGATAGAAGGATATAGACCCCTCTATGATGAAAGGCCCCGATAAATTTAAGCTGGTTAATCTACAGAGGCAGTTTGAATCACAACTCAAGGAAACCCTAGCAGTCAGAGTAAAACCATCCACTATGAAAAAAGACCTCTGTAGGAGTTAGTTGTCATGCTTTGAACTTCTACCTAATCCCTAACCCTAGAGCTTATTTTGTTTTTTAAGAGTTACAATTCCGTCAACAATTATCGTAGAATAAGTACTTCTCCCAGTCTAAAGCAAATTGCCAAATTTTTGCGAATTGTTAAAATCTTGTAAGTGATCTTCTCAAGAGCCAAAGTCTTGCCTCGAAAACTTTTAATTTCGACAAAACAAGAGATTTTAGTTTTAACCATTCATATGTCATATTATGAAAGACGTGTGGATAGAATTAATGTATTTAACTGAAAGATGCGAGTTCTAAAAGTCAATGCTACCGCCAAAAGAACTGCTGATACTGCACCGACATACTTAAAACGCTACTTTGTGTCATTAAGACCAAGAGACAAAATTCCGCATAAACGCGGAAGGCGCAAAAATCTGGTTAATTCTTTCGTTCAGTTCGTTTATTAGCGAGATAGTTTTGTGATTGACAGGGCCGTCCAGAAGTGAAATTTTAATTGATCAAAAAAATTTAGTTTGATGCGACCGCCTCCAAAATTTGGAAATTGCGTAATTTCTGTCCTTGTTTTTCCTGCAAAAAAAATAGAATACTTAAATTCGTTTCAAGTGCGATCCGGTCCTAAATTAAGTGCCGCTGAATATGATATATACGCCTAATAGTTTCATCGCTTTTCCTAACTGCGAATGGCGTTTTCTTATGCAACGCAAAAAAACGATTAAAAAACCTCAGGAAAAGGACTTTTTTCAAAGTCATGGTCATAAAAGCGTTCTTAAAAAAAGGAATGACTCGATGGGAATTTATTTTGGTCATATTTTGCTACTTAATTGACTAACTTGTCTGGATGAAACAAAACCCAAAAATATGTTTGCTGAATCAGTAAGATATGAGTACCAAGATATGAGTCCAGAAGCAAATTTCCTCGATAACAGCCAATTCTGATCAAAGCTTTATTTGATGCACAAAGAAAAGAAAGGAGCTGACTAATTCTAAATTATTCTCCTGTGTATTACAAGCTGTTCATTAATGATGCCATTTTACAGATGTTCACAGCCCCTGTCCAGAAATGAACACGCAATTTTTCAGTTTGAATGAAGTCTTTATTTGCTCGCGCTGATGACTTGACGAATTATCTTTCTAGAATATTGTAAAAAAAAAACAACAAATACCAAAACAAAAAAACAAAAAAAACAACAAAAAAACCAAACAAAAACCAAAACAAAACAAAACAAAACAAAACAAAACAAAACAAAAAAAACGAAAAAACAAAGCAAAAAAAGAATCAAAAGAAATTTTATATCTGCAAGTCTTCCCCTCGAGTCCCTTGACGAGAGTTTTTGTTCCTAAAATGTTTAACCAGGAAAACTAGTTTTCTTAGGTAAAAGAAAATTATTTCATTCAAATTTCGGCTTATGGAAAACTGATCAAATAGTAATGCCATAGTTTCGAGTAGGTTTTCATTATATACAGCTGATATTTATTTGTAACATTTAGATTTAATTTTTGGCCAGCGCGTGACAGAGAACGTGTGGTCTGCACATGCTATATAGACTTCCTTCTGATGGCACTTTTGAGGAGTAATCGATTTTTAAATATCAATTCAGAATACTTATAGAACGCTTTGCGTGAAAAGTCAAAGTCTCTTTTAACGCATCCGTCTAACTTTAAGTTGAATGATGCAAAATCGAGTTTAAGTTGAGAGGACATGCTTAGAACAACGTGCAATTAGGAATGTGAGACAAATTTAACCGATGAAACTTCGAGTTGACAATGAATTTTTGGCTTCAAAAGTTGAAAAAAATGCTTTCCTGAGATACTTTTTACAACCAGGTCAAATGATTGAAAACATTGAGAAATTCACTGTGTTTTAGAGTTAAGTTCTATTTTCAAATGAGTTGAAATTACCTCTAAATGTATTTTCCAGCGTATCACCATAAATCGTTCGAAAAGGTTGGAAGTCCCTAATCGGTGGTATTGGATTTTATCAATAATACAGCGATTCCCTTTATCGTAAACTTGCAAGAAAACCATAAAACGGTGTTTGTCAGGGTTTTAGGGATAAGAGAAGCCAGGGGTAAAAACTACTGTGATGTTCGGTCACAAGTCCATTGCCATTATCCTCAAGAACAAACTTTTTTCATCTATTGTGCCATATCCGATGCGAGTCATTGACTAGTGTCTCTAATGGTCCTAACTGAATTTTATACCAGAGAGTGAGAGGGGAAATAAAAAAGGCGAAAGCTATCACCAAATTTTTTGATCTTCGTTTCTTTGCAATCACCTGTTTCGAAGATTTCTGACGAGTTTGGCTGAACTTTTATCCAGGGTCTAACACATCTGCAAATTTAGGCGAGAATGCAGAAAAAATACATGACAGGCTAGTCTAGCTACGACCACGAGCAAAGATTCCTGGAATCGCCACGGGGCAAACATTGCAAGTTGCTAGAACGAAATACGTGGCGAAATGTTGTTTCGACGTCCAAAAAAGCGATTTTGGAGGGAAATCAATGCTTTTTCGCCGCAGTTTAATCATAATTGGATTAAAATAATATTGATACGAGGGAATATTAAGTATTTGTTAGCATTACCACGAAATATGTTATAAAATATCCCAATTAACTCCTCTCCTTGCGTAAGGTCTTTGGTGAAATCGTCATCGCGTAATGGTCTCGACATCTTACGAAATTTGCCATAAATCGCAAAGAAATAACTCACTAAAGTTTTTCCAGTCGTATTTTTGTATGTACAGCCTGTTTGTATTAAGATAAACATATTACAATGGCTGAAAATATACCACCTCAAAGGAGAGAAGTTGTCGTCAGCGGAGATAGAAATTGTTTTTTACCGAGCTGTTTCTCTTTGGAATGATGAAATAAGCGATGAAAAACAAAAGAAAATCCCTAGGTCAAGTGATAATTTGTCGAGAAATATCCAGAGATTTTTGGGTAGCCACTTTTCTCCTCCAACTCTTTGGAGGATCTTGTCAGGAACAGCAAAATGTGGACATATGTGCATCGCCCCTCAAGCGACCCATTTGTACCTACTCATCGTCGCATAAGAAAGGCTTCAGTTTTTAGCCGGTCATCAACGCTGGTTCGTTCCGATTGATCATAAGAAATAGGAAATGTAGGTGTTTAACCACTTAATGTATCATGATAACATTTAATGCTCAAGCACACCATTTCAATCCCGTGCTGCCTCGAGTTAGCTGTTGTAGTGTTTTCTTTTCGCATTACCAAACCAAGAAAAGAGCTAAAAGTAGACTCAACAAACGTAAATAAAACTGAAAAAGCTTTTTTGGGAAATTTGTTAGCGATTTATGCCTAATGTTTCAGAAGTTCGAGATCTTTGCGCGATGTCAATTTCAATATAACCCTTGCGCATAGAGAAAAAGTTAATCACTAGATTTTACAACATTTTTCACGGTTATTCCAACAAAACCTTGCATTACCTTTGTATTTATATAACCCACACTCATTCCTGATAAAACTGTGGCAAAAAAACGATGATCTCTCTCCTAAATCGTTTTTCGGACGTCGAACCAACCTTCCGCCGTATATTTCTTTCTAGCGAGTTGCAATGTTTGCCCATTGGCGATCGCACAAAAGTTTGCGCAAACACAAGGATCCGATTACTGGTAACTCACTCATTTAATTTAACGAGCAGTGCCATTTCAGGTTGCATTGAATCATTTATTTTTCATAAATGCACAGCGCCGATTTTAAACTCAGTTATCTCGAAACAAGCGCTAGAAGCTATCGATAACCCTTCTTGAAACCAACTCTTCTAGCATGCTCATTGATCAGGCGTTTTTGTGATAGAAATATTCTTACATAGGGAGAGGGTCTCTGCTACTTCTTGTCGTTCATTTTACAATTTCCCGTTGTGCTTATGTTGTGTTGAAGACTGCCCTATTACTATTTATCAACATCTCTCATGGTCAGGTTTTCGTCGAGTAAAAAGTCTCGCTATACCATCATGGCTTTGCGTCTTTCTGAACTAGCAGTCCTGTTGATTCTGGTGGGTATCTTCACTTTCCTCAGATTTGAATGAAGTCATTCAATATTCAGAAAACACAGAGTAATTATAATTACTTAGTTAGGTAACCAAAAAGCTACCAAAATTGAAAGCCAGACAAGTAGCCGTTTGAAGTCTTCAAAAATAATACACAAAAAAAACCTGAATCATTGAATTTAATGCACCCTGCCTTTATTTGATCGTAACTTATTGCTCAAACTTATTGGAAACCCGGCTCTGTAATGAAATTTTTGACCTTCATAGATCTGTTCTTACATTTTTGAGTCTCCACTTTTCGGTGTTTTCCAAGTCATGTCTAACGGTGTTTAATTTCTTAATTTTTCGCAGAGTTCTAGATATCCCGACGTCTCTGGTGAGTTGCCAGGTAAGAAAAATATTTTGATGCGTATTTTCACAAAAATAAAAGAAAAACAAGCACTTGTGAACTGTCCAAAAAATTAGATTTAAGCAATTTTCTAAGAATTTTCACATGATAGTTCGAACCACGACGTGAGGGAGATAGAATAACAGCCTTCAGCTTTGGACTATTGCTCGCTACTTTTAATGATTGTAAACTATCAAAGCATCACAATACGTCTGATACTACATCCTTAAACAAACACATAAGCTGAATATCACTTACCGATGTGATACCTCCGTAGACTGCAGGCAACTCACACGTTTCTTCGAGGCATACTTACTTTCTGAGCTTCGACTCTCAGTCATGATGCCGTTTTCAATTTCAAGTGATAAATGTCAGGTTGAGAGGTCTAATACTGTCTCCTTTGTTCTCTAATGAGGTGAGATGGGTAATCCACAGGCAGTCAATTACTTTTAAGGCTGAACCCGGCTTTCAAAAATAAGTTGAATCAGTGGTAAATAGCAATCCAAGCCAAAGAGACTTTGAGCTTAAAAAAAATATTCGGCCTGATTCTTATTGTTTACTGCTGCAACCAAGACAATTTCTAGTCGTCATGCATGTAGTTACTGTACTGAGAATTTATAAAAGAAGTTAGGTTTGACAACCTCCATTAATACCACAACTACGAAATGAAACTGTAAGTTGCAACTATGAAAGAAGGCAGCCTCTAATGCAAGGAAAAATCGATTAGTGCATGATTTGGTCTTTATGTGTCGATCAAAGCGAAGCTTCAACATGCTCCCCCTTGGCTTTTGAACCTTTGAAGATTGTTTCGATCAAATTCCAGCTTTTGGGACCAAAAATGTGTTTAAATGCCGCACCTAAATTCCGGATTTGATATTCTATTTTTTTTTGTTTAAACCACGAGTAGTGACCTTGACTTTCTTGTAGACCTTTTTTACTTCTGAGCCATCTGCTCGTGAAAGTGAACATTTTGCCTTTAAACACCTCCACACTAAGACATAAAAAAAATTACGCTGGATAGACCTGACAGTTCTGGTTCAAGTTCCACCTAGGCAAGGTTCAAATTCCCCATTCCTTGGGCACGGATGACAGTCAAATGCCCATGGTTTGCCCGGGCGGGGATGTTGAAGCTTTGAATTGATCGGCCCATTAATTTTTTGTGTCAAATCAATTTTTGCAGATTGCTTTAGTAATCCTGTTGGTGTTGCAACTCCCAGTATCATCTTTGATCGTCAGATGACAGCATCATCCAGAAATAGGCCGTCTACCAGGGCGGCTTATGGTCGCCTCAATGATAAAAGAGGCGACGGTTGGTGTTCACTTGAGGCTAAAAGTAACGCTGAATGGCTTCAGGTTGACATCGGAAAAACAATTCAGGCATGTGGTCTCGCCACTCAGGGAGGCGTACCAAGCACGAGACGGGAATGGGTAAAAGATTTCAAGCTGGATTACTCTTTTGATGGAGAAAATTGGAAGAATTATCGGGATGAAAATGGAGAAGTAATGGTAAGATTTATAATATAAAGACACTGTGAGCAGTAATCGTATCAAGAAACGCTTTGATACACGTACTGTTTTATCTAATAGAACAATTAGACCAACAGTTTTTTCATGCTTTGTTGAACGTAAAGGCAATTTCTTCGGTTGCATATTGTATCTGATATTAAAACTTTCGAGATTCCGTTTGCTTTTCGAAGGAGGTCTCTTTTAAGAATATTTCTCTTCCTTAACGTAATGCAGTGTTCCTTCTTTACGCATTTGTGTCAAAGGTATTTCGAAGGAAGGTTAACAGTTCCAAAACCAACCAACACAAGTTGCCATTGCCAGTATATGCAAGGTACTTCCGATTTCTTCCTACACGGCGTCACGAAAGGAACTGCCTCAGGGTTGAGATTTACGAATTCAAAAGTGAGTATATGATAAAAATGTGCTTGGACAAGTACGATTCACTTTTTCGTATCAGGAGTGGATTTTCGGCTATGGTAAGGTACCCTCACTAGTTTGGATGACCAGGCGGAGCGAAATGAATTCTAGCAACTAGATTTAAAACTTTCTTACTGGAAACTAAACAATCCCAAATACTTCTTAGGGTCTGTATCAATCTATTATTGTATCGCTGGTAGTACCCGTGGGGAGTATAAAACGAACCCAGTGTTCTGATTGGCTTCCAAAGAGAGCAAGATGGTCCTTCGTCTCGGTCCATAAAGACGCAAAAAAAGAAAACGGTCATAATCCAACCATCGTGACCTCACCCTTGGTCAATAACGTATATAGATAACCTTGTATGAACTTGACTGAGAGCTGCTTGTATTTGCTGGAGAGAAGAAAGTGTAATAAGTACGTGTCTTCATTTTGTGGCATTGTCGACGACGTTGGGACATCAGTTTCTGCTGTTTTTTTATCGCACAGTTCGAAATGTCGCAGCCCTTCGATTTCTGAACAACCACGATGGGCGTTTCTTTGTCCTACACGCCCATCTATAGTTGGTCGATAACATTGAGTTTCAGTGACCCTGTTGTCATCAACTCTGCCGGACGTTTATCTAAACACTTCTTGAACAATTCAACGCGGCATCTCTTCTTGCAAGTTGCGGCCTCTTTGAGGTTACACTAGTAACTGCGGTTTGACTCTCAATCCGTCGCCTATTGTCTTCATTAAACCTCCAGAAAAAGTGACAAATTCTGCTCTTGTCGGCTTTGTAAGCGCGTTTTTAGTAGCCAGCAGACCGTGTTAATGAAAAAGTAAGGGGCTTCGTCGCCCAACTGGCCATTGTCCCACAGTGTTTCCTCCTCTTCTTCTGTTAGACTTTGAACTTGCTTTGCCGCTTGAAAACTTTGTCCTTTATTATTAGTTTGCTCCTGGTAATCATTGGAGGGCTCTGGTGCACTATACATCTAAACTGCCAGGTTTACCTTCCCAGGCCTGTATTTAACTGTTAAGTGGAACTGTTGCAGGTAATTATTCCGCCATTTACTCTGATCGGTGGTTTATTGTTTTGAATATGGCCTCTTTAAAACGTGTTTCAGCCATGCACATGGACAGACACCTTCACGGCCAGCGGATAGTCAATGCTTACGGTTGCAGCCATCTATACACCTCCCCTAAAGGATCTGATCTGATTTTCTGGTGTAGGTAGCTGGTCATCAGCCATCCCTCTTCTTTTAAGCCAGTAAAGCACTGAGTCGTACATAGCTTATGACTTCTGTTTCTGCTCCAATATCCCAGCGGGCAAAAGAGGCAATTGTCCAGCAGTAAATTCTTGATCTTTATAAACTTCTCTCGCTCTCTTTCTGCTCATCGTCATTTCACACTTTCTCAGCTTCCTTGGCAATGGTTGGTCCTTCAGCCTCCCTCATCGCTGGAACATGACAGGATGTGGTGGAACTCTTGAGGCGGACAAAACTTAATCAAAAATAAAACTAAAGTTTTGACTAGTCGAAAAAAGATCAGTAAGACTGATTGTTAAACCGTTGAACTTAAGAATAGTTAGTCACATTGCTTTATCAGATTCAAGGAGCTGTCGCTCTAAATTCCGCAAAATCAACTGGTTAGAGGCCACAGTGAATCGTTTGAGAGCAAATTACGTATTTTATTTGAAGCGAACTCTTCATATTTAGTAAAACTCTCATTGGCCAGATCTACAGCTTGGTGTGAAAAAGGAATTTGACTAGATCACCTTTTATGTAAACAATTAAACTGCTTATTTTCGCAGTCCCAGGGTGCCAGGATATAGAGTTAGGACTTGGCAATGGATACTTTCTGGATAGAGACATCAGTTCGTCCTCTGTCCTAAATACCAATACACCTGCTAAGAATGGTCGATTGAACTACAATGGTGGATCATCATGGTGTGCAGCAACAAATGACAGTCAGCCATATCTACAGTTTGACTTTGAGAAGCTTTATATCATCTGTGCTGTGTCCACTCAGGGAAATGCTCAAGGGGATCAGTGGGTAAAGAAGTACATACTTCAGTCATCCAAGGATGGGACAACATGGACAGACTATCGAGAGGCAGGAATATTGAAGGTTCGTTCGTTTAGAATTCTGGGAAAAAATATTCATAAGAAGTAAAACTGTGAATGAAAATCATCCTCGCTTTCTAAAGTTACTCCCACGGGAAAGATATCACTAACTCTCGAAAATAAAATTCGAATCCGCTTGCAGCCATCTTCGTTTTTGCATTTATTCAAAATGAATGATAAATGATTAGTTAGCCCTACATATTTCTTTTAAAGAAATCCTTCCATTTTGGAAAGATTCTTTTCACATTGTAAATACAGGTTCACCTTTTTAATTGTTTTTCAAGCAGATCACACCCGCTGCTATTTTACTATTGCTGATAATTCTTACCTTTACAGATCTTCACCGCAAATATTAACCGAAACAACACAAAAAAACAAACTTTGTGCAACGGGATTGTTGCTAGATTTTTGCGTATCATTGCCCAAGAACACTACGGAAATTGCTGTATGAGGGTAGAGACATTTGGAACACCGCTGACACAAGGTAAGGTTACCTAGCGTGATAATATCAATGAAATAGTCAACGATTAATTTTGCAAAGCTTCAGAAAGCTCTATCAAACCCCTGAACTTGGATAACTGACGTTACATTTAAGTTAAGAGATGCGGTAAATGGCAATTCCCATGTGAATAGAGTTCTCACAACCTTCAGCATTTCAAAAATGCGTGATTGACAATCTCTTAAACGTAGCCTGACAATATATTAGAGATTATACTGTCAAGAGATTATAAATGTTTAAAATATCTTGTTTTAAACTCAATAGGGGATGCCATGTTAACGCACTCACTTGACCTCAGAATTTCGGAAGTCGCATTTCCTGAGATAAAATTCTAAATTTTCTGGGGAAGGAAACACTCAAAACTTCCTATCAGTGACCGGCCTGGGTTCTCGTATGAACCTCCCCCCCTACCTCCCCTCACATCTACAAATGCTGTATCCGTCCTGGAAGAGTACTCTTCACAAAAAGGAAAAAAAAATTCAACGATCGCTCAACGAGTGACCAGGTAATAGCTTGGTGTGACTATCTTTTCCAGCGCTCGAGAGCACTCAAGTAGAAGGGAGCAACCCTAAACTATATTCTTGTTTCAGGAAAATCAGAAAAAACATCGAGTTTTCTTTATTTGTTAAGTGACGTTGCATGTATTTTCAGACAATCTGGCCCATTGGAAGCCCACAAGTCAGTCAACTATTTTTAAAGAGCGTTTTGCTAGTAACGCCGTCGATGGACTCTTTGTAGATTCAGGTCCTTCCTGTACTCGGACAAGACTCCGAGGCACTACTGATCCGTGGTGGAGAGTCGACCTTGACCAAGTGCAGCCCGTTTCCCAGGTTTTCATACTCGGTAGAGATAATATTGAGAGAAGAATAAACGGTGCTGAGATAACAGTGGGTGAGTACTAATGATTTAATTGTAACTTAAGGTTGAATTCACTAGGGAATTGAGAGTGTTTTCAAAATTTTTTGACTTTTCCCCTAATTTCATGCGTTTGTCATTGGTAAGCCTTAGTTTGATAGCATGCGGATATTTGAGTTTCAAACGCACCATCAAACCTTACGTGTTTTGCCACTTCCAACCATGTCGCACACCTCCTAAGCGATAGAGGGCTTCAAAATGTCCCGTTCCTGTGTTGTTATGGGCAGATTTCGATCTATTTTGCTTGCTTCTGTTATGAGATTTCGTCTGCGTAGCCGTACGTTTGTACATCTCTTATGTAAATGCTGTTCACATGGCACTAAATAAAACAAGTTAGACCTCGAGCTTCAGAGTCATGTAATGCATGAAAATCTTCGTGTTGTAATTTAAGTGATCACCAATAATTAGACTACTTGAAAATCTTCTTTAATGTTTTGTTCACAGTTCGTGGAAAAAATACCCATTTGCCATATAGTCCACGTGGTACAGTATAAGCGTACAGAGTCCTATTTGTCTTACCATTAATGAACAGTCGCGGTTTTAAGTCTCACTCATCATTTTATCTTTAATGCTTTAAGGAAATGAAACCTCAAAAGGAGGAGCAACTAATAGCATTTGCGTCCGTGATGTTCTCGTCCCTGAAGGAAAGGGAAAGTTTTTTCGATGTAATATGACGCTGTATGGCAGGCACTTATTCATCCGGATACCTGGATCATCAAAAATATTGTCCCTATGTGAAGTTGAAGTTTTCTCCTCAATTAAATCAAGTAAGACTTGTTATATAATGCCTCGCAAAATTGCTCTTATGTTGGAAAATTACCCCCCACTTAGTCCAAGTTTCGAGTGAGACTGCCATAACTAGCAACCATAAGGATGTATGAGAATCGTGTCGGCAATCCTGACCATCAGATTTACCGTGAAACTATAAAAGAGTCAAAAAGTAAAAATACTCAATTCCGTCTTTTGTTTCCATGTTTTTTTTATTCTTCCTGAGTTGATTTATGGTGGTTTTAGTAAGAGCTCTTTTGAATTTATGCAGTTTTTACTACCTAGTATTTCGTGTTTCTGCGAAGAAATTTGGTAAAGTTTGTTAATTTCGCAACTGCGTTCATTCCTGGACATCGTTTAATACAGTAGGCTGCCGGACACATTTATTTGGGGCCATATTACCTTCCCTGCCTGTTTTAGTGTGGCTTGCAAGATCTAATGAAAAAGGATAAAAGGTGGGAAGGAGGAGAGAGGCAAAGAAAAGAAAAAATATTTACTCAGGTTTACTCAAGTTGTGTCTCAGAGGATGACTCAATTATACAACTGTGAAATCCCCCATTTCAGCAACTACTTAGATTTTAGTAGCAGCGCTACATTATACCTGAATCTCAGTTTACAAGTAATACAGAACATTTATGCTTCTTTAATAAGTTGCTTTTCTTTCTTCTAGATCTTGCCTTGAATCAGTCTCCTAAGCAGTCTTCCACATGGACTAACACTGTGTTGGATGGAGATATTCGTTCCTGTGCTAAAGGCACATTTCAGAAGGACCACTGGATGAGAGTAGACCTGGGAGTACCGTGGGTAGTAGCTAAGGTCGTTATTAGTCACAAGCGTATGTGGATTGATGGCCTTGAAGTCTGGATCGGTGAGTTCAGGACAACGCAAAAGATAGCGGAGATCAAATATGCAGTTAAAACTGACTTGTCCTATGTCCATTTCCGACAGGTCATGACAGTGGCAATAGAGGCAATTCAAACTTGCGTTGTGGAGGACAGGATACTTCCGAAACAGCTTTTTCGGTTAAAACAGCTTTCTCGTTAAAACAACGGACCATTTTTTGTCTTCCTAGGCTTGTGGGAAAATTTGTTTTTATTGGAGTTTCCAACGCTGACAAAACTCTCTACTTATGCGAGGTGCAGGTTTACTCTCAAAGCTCGACAAGAATGGGTAAGGAGCTGTCATGTCAAAAATTTCATGAATGATATAGCCAAGGGGTTATACTTCTCTTTTATTTTTTCCTGAAAAATGTAGGATTTCCCTGACTAACTGAATTAACAGTCTTACAAATAAGTCCTGATTATGGCATCCACCCTCCCCTTACAGTCTCATCCTCTGCCCCTAAACTAATGCTTTCAGCATGTAGCAAGTTAAATTGTTCATTCCTTAGAGTAACATACAAATAGGAGTAATTTTCATATAAAAAAAAATTAACAACAGATTTTCGCTCAATTTTATTAAACACTATTCTACCAATCCAGCACTTTCATTCCATTGAAGGTACTAAAAAATTTGAAATGTTAGCTAAAATTGAAAAAAGAAGAAAAGGTAAGCGTACAATCTCACTTAAAAACCAAGATAAACTCCAATTGCAAGTGGAAAAGATATGCTTGCCATTAAACTGTCAACTGTTATAAACAATGTACATAAGTAACATCGACATCACAAGAAACGTTAAGTGGTAGTATCATCCATGATCATGAAGAGGGCCAAGACAAGATGAATGCGTTCACATTTGAGCCACATCGAAATCTCTCTGGGGAAAGTATTTCAGTTTAAGTCGTACTACATTCTTCTGTTTCTTTTCTCCATCCCTGGTACATATGTGGAACCTTTCCACAACGGCCACCTCAGGAAGATAAGTAATTGTTCTTTGGAGGAAAAGGGTTTTCCAAAGTAAGAGGCCGTCGATAGGGACTCAACTTAACGATGTTTCCCAATTCTTTTTTCTGAAGCTTGTCAGACACAGGCAGTTGAGGTGGCCAACAAGAACATCTTCCCAGAAAAAAGTTTCTCAGCCTCATCATTCCGTGAAGGTGATGAACCTTACAACGCGCGCCTACGGAGTGGCATGGGTGCTTGGTCCCCCAGGGATAATAGCAATGCTGATGATTATCTGGAAATTAATCTTGGAAACGTGTTCTTCATTTGCGCTGTGGCTACCCAAGGAAGTCCACATCGCAAAGAATGGACCAAAAGTTACAAGCTCTATTTGTTCCTTGAGGATTGGATGATCTATAAAGAGAATGACACGGAAAAGGTCTGACTATAGAAAGTAGAAACTATAGAAGTACGCTTTAGTCTCTATGTGACATGGTTGTATGAGATAACGGTTCGATTAGCAATCCGAATGTCGATCAGTTTAGTCAAAGGTAAAAATTTATCCGTTGGTGAAAACTGTATTGATCATCTTGCACTTAACTGATAGGTAAACGCAACTGTGTTTAAACCATGTACTTTAAGGCGTATTCTCTTGAATTTACAGAAATACTTTGATACATGGATAAAATCCACTTATATGCCGACCATTTTTATTACAGATTTTCATTGGCAACTCACACAGGAATGAAATAGTGCAACATGTTCTGGTAGAGGTGGCAAGAGCTCGGATCATTCGGTTCCGGCCAGTTGACTATCATATTCACAAAGCTCTTAGAGTAGAAGTGTATGGAATAAGAATACCTGCAGGTACGTCAGTTTTGCATATGTGACCATCGTTGGCTGTAACATTTTAATTCAAAGGATTATGATGAAGATTTTTTTAGGACTGCACCGATCGAGTTTTTTTAAACAGTATCCTACTTTTTCAGTTGTGAAAGCACCTGAGCAATGAACACGTACGACTAATCGTTGTCTGCTGGATATCTGAGCGGTTCGAAATGTGGTCGGAAGGTCAAATCTTCAGATTTCTTTCCCGAAGGCGTTTCACTGCAGGCCGATCGTACCAGAAGTTGACAAATGTAACGTGTATTCAGTGGAACGATCTTAGACAGCCCAAAAAGTCACTCATGAATTTATCTATGATGAATTTTTGAGCAAATCGATCGGGTTCGGTTAACTGATCTGAGTGTGAATCTTAGACACCGTTTACTTAGGTAACTAATACAATGATAAAAAAATGGTGATCTTCAATAAAAAGACGAAAATTTGCTCGTCAAACCCGGGATAGGTTTTAAAAACAATTGTCGTGTCATTTGTCATTAAGGCGTGCATTAAACGTGAAAACTACGCAAGCGGGCCGGTATTTTTGCCATTTCGATCAAACAAAAGGACGTCGAAGCGTGAAAAAATATAGTTCAACCAAACGGAGAAGTCTAACACATGGCCTAAAGTACATTTATTTCAATATTTGTTTTATATTTGCTTTTACTCAACTTAGTCACATTAGCCTGTTCACTTCTGATGTGTGCTTTCTGTCGCGTTTATCCTCCCACAGGACCACCTGCACCTCCTATCATTGAAAACCAGGAGCAGGAAATGTCGTATCCTAATTTGTCCATATCATGGAGTTCTGGTGATACTAGCAGCTGTCCAGTTACTATGTACACAGTGTACTACAAGTCCATCCAACGGCGAGAGGAGGAAAATACTTGGAATCGTATCAGTGCCTCTTCGAGTACGAGAGAGCTAAGTGCCCTACCACTTGATTGTGACACAGAATATGAATTAAGAGTGTCTGCATGGAATGAACTGGGTGAAAGTAACCCTTCAGAGTCCTGGAAAGTGAAATCCATTACAGGTATTCATATCAATTGTTTTTCTCATTCTATTTTTGCCGAAATGATCTCAAAACGATTGTTACCAGTTGCAAAATTCACTGGGCTCAACCAGAACATATCCAATGTAAAAAAGGCTAGCTTGTGAGGCCTGGAAGGAGACAGAGCCGTGGAAAACTCACCACCATTCGATTTTCAACTGAAAACTAGACGACTGGTAGTACAATCCGTCGGTCAGATGAACGATAATACACAAGAAGGTGGTAAAGACGATTCTGTCTCATGCCTTTCTATTTTCACCCTTAACCTTTCCAAATTTGGTCGTTGTCTTTCTTGTCCAACCCTTTGTTACACTTACAATTCGAGATTAACAAACTCCTTTTATTGCTTTTTTTGGGTTCTGTTTGTTAGTCTGTATATTTTTTAGTTTACTTGTTTGTTTGCTTTTTTTCCTTCTTCTTTTCTTAGGGTACCCAGTCATTGTCAACAGGACCAACCAAGTGGAAGGGAGTCTGGTGGCGATCCGTTGGAAGCCATGTACTGCTTCTTTATTCACTATATGCCACAGAGAAATACTTCCAGAGGGTAAAAGCCACTGGAACACAGTGAACGTGTCGGGAAATGAAACAAGTTATGATCTTCATCTCAGATGCAGAAGGGATTATGAAATAGCTATAACAGCCTGGAATTCTACGGCAGAGACGCCACTGACTGGATCACTAAACCACAGAAGGTTGTGGAGCGTTAGGACATTAGGAGGTAACTGCAGTCATGCTCCATTTAAAACTCCTACAAAGGACTTAAATTTGATTCTTCAAGCATTAAGGATCTCACCACCCTTCGATGGTGGTGAGGTATTTTCATCCTCCAACAGATGTGTGTGTTTTCATTCCTAGTTACTTCAATGAGAACAAGTACCGTAGATATACGCTTTTTGGGTGTTTACAGTTCATAGTATAAGATTCTTACTGAGCCAGAAACATATGGTTTGGTCAAGGGAAGTAGCTGAAATCTCGTTGTCGTATTAATATTATTTCGTCGGCCGTCTGAGAAAATTTGAAATGTATCTATTAATTACGTATTTTGTTGTAGTTTAGACCGCAAGGAAATGTTTGACCACTTTCCTTAGACGAGAGTGAGGTCATGTTTTTACGAATGCTTATAGCAGGCTTTTGCTAAAGTGTTATCGCTTCTTTTTTGCCTCAGGTAAACCGTCATCCCCGATTATAGACGGCAGAGGTGTTCAGTTGTCCGGTTGTGATGTGAGCATCAAATGGAGTTCCCCACCAGATAACGGCTGTCCGCTGACCTCGTACACAGTATACTACAGAGAGGTGCAATCTACAAGCGAAGATGGCTACTGGCATCAAATCAATGTTACCGTAAATGTTACCTCAGTGGATCTCCCCTCGCTCAAGTGTAACACGGAATACGCTTTTAAGGTGTCTGCTTGGAATGACTTGGGCGAAAGTGAGGCCGCCGAGAGGTTGGAAAAAACCGTGCAGATGACTAATTTTATTAGACGCATCCTGACCATTGCTGTACCTGTAGGATGTGGGTTCCTCATTCTCATTACTGCGGGAATCCTTTGCTTCAGACAGAGACGAAAAAAGAGAAAATTGCAAGATCTGAGGAATCGCAGGTTGGGAGTAGGTTTATTTCTAGAAATTTTTGAGGTAACGCAGTCCTGGCGTGAAAGCTAGGGTTGAGCAAATACAAGCACTCTTAAAGAGTAACTAGTGCTATACACTAATTCCTTTTCCCCATATAGTTCCATTCAAAGTATTCGTCAAGGCTAGAATCGAAGTCTTGAGCACATGGTAACATTCATTTGACGTGCCGTTCCCATGCGTAAAGGTCTTGAGCTGCTTCCTTAATGCTTAATGTATACGAGTATGTTGATATTTTAATAAACAAAAAGAAAAAATCCCTACAACAATTCTGTAGATCGAAGTCAGACATTGTTCCCCTGCTGTTAAAAGAGATTTCCCCGGAACGTGTCACAATTATGGAAGAGCTAGGCAGGGGAGCATTTGGAAAAGTACACAAAGGAATCCTGAAAGAAATGCCGAAGGTTGAGGTGTTTTTTAAGCCAAAAGAGGAAAGAGTGGATTTTAATGAAGGAAGAGTTGTCGCTGTAAAACTCTTGCATAGTAAGTATAAATAAATGTATATTTGCTTTTTGTTACATTACGAATGTAACATCAACACTAACTGTGCAGCTCAAAATTAACTTTTTTAAATCGAAGTTCATGGCTATCCTTACCGACCGCTTTTTTCTTTTTTTTTTGCATGAAACTTACAACTGTGGAGCCCCTGATCGACACACACACACACTCAAACGATTTGCCTAAGAAACAAAGACTCAGAGTAAAAATGTGATGTTCGTTTTACGAAAATAGAATTTGGCTCATAATTTACAAAGACTATTAAGATCAATTTCAATTTTGGAAGGATCAGTGAATTACTGGTTTGATTTGTGACAATGACTGCCCAATTGACAATTTCATTCTTATCTGTGTTAGATACTTTACGATAATTAGGTAACGATAAACTTCAGAGATGTAGTGAGCCGAACTCTTTTTTTTTTTACTTGCTGTTTTACCACTTCCCTTTCAGAAAGAGGCGATGTAGATGAGAAAGAACAGTTTCTCAGAGAAATTTCGTTTGTGCAGCGTATAGGTAGTCACAGGAATTTGGTAAGCATGATTGGCTACTGGCACAGATCAGAACCCATAATGCTGATCATGGAATATGTTCCACATGGAGATCTTCTTCAGTGGCTGAGAAACAAAAGGCAGCAGGTAAAACTGTTTTGCAGATTTAAAACTTTGGTAAAAAATATTGATCAAATGGAGGGTTAATTAGCTACCAAACAAATTGGAGTGCGTAACAAAAGGTTATAAGTCTTTTAACTTTGGGATAAAAAATGGCGATCCATAAACATGGAGTCCTTAGGAGGTACCCATTTCAAAGAATACATTTCTTTTTTTCTCTCATGAAAGAGCTTTAGCAAATGCTAAATTGAAATTTCTCACTCGTAATCGCTGATGATGCCGGTCAGAAATAAATAATTGAATTGTTCAGGTTTGGGTTATTTTTCTAGATATGCTCTCAAACTAAAAGATCCATGGAGTTGTTTACATGAGACATTCTAATAATTTTAGGTCAAATGTAGAAACGGCATCGATGGTGTTATTTTTGAATCCATGGACGATTATAAAGACAGCAGTGCAAGTTCAAAAGAAGCTGTCTCAGCTGATCAGTCAGAGGACGTCGTAGACTTTCACGATGATGTCAGTAATGGAACGGAACTCACGAGTGTGGCGGAATTTACCGAAGCTACCAGCAATCCAGATTTCATTTCAGTTATTATTAAAGAACAACCGCCCACAGAAGAGGAAAGTACTGACACAGAGACAATACAAATGAAAATTTCTCAAGCTCATTTTCCATCTGGCCACGAAGAAGGGAATCTCGCTACTCCATTTAAAAGTGCACGCCCCCTGCCACAGCTACCAGAGAACACAGAGGAACAACAGGATACGAATGGTGATGGCGAGCAGGCAGTTGACTTCACCGTAAAAGATGCACTTTGTTTTGCATGGCAGATAGCAAATGGAATGGTAAGTGCTTAAATTTAAAAGTATCTGTGATTATTGAACTAAATATTACACGCATACATTTTCTCCAGTCTAGGAAATAAACTTTCTTCTTAACATCCTAGCGCCGAGCTCATGTTACATGAAAAAAAAGTAACAAAAAAAGTCATTCCATGAAAATAAGGTGGACAGAAAGTCAGTTAAACGTGCTCATTGTAACACATAGACAATAAAATTTTAAACCTTGGAAAAATACTTAAGCAGATCTTTAACTACATGCTGCATAAAAGCGTCAAATGATTAATGATACACGCCAACAGTCTACTTTTATCATCATCTACTTTACTGATAGATCTGTTATCTGACAGCTAGAGATGAATTGCCATCGGTTTATTAGTGCTCTCCTTTTCACCAACGAGCGAATCGCAAGGAAAGAAAGAAATGGACGCGCAGGCTTAGTAATGGCCTTGCATGATTTTGAATTGCTTTGTGTTTCTATATAAACAGGAGTACTTGGCCAGCAACGGATTTGTTCATCGTGATCTGGCCGCTCGTAACATCCTTCTTGGTGAGGACAGAGCTGTGAAAATTGCTGACTTTGGCCTGTTGCGTCACACATACGGGGACATATATGAGGTAAAGAACACGAAGAAACTGCCAATCAAATGGATGGCACCTGAGTCATTCGGCGACGGCATATTTACTTCCAAAAGTGACGTGTGAGTACTAAACGTTCTTAAACTACTCAAAACAAGATTTAATTTATTATCTTTTTTTCCGCTCAATTATGTTTTCAATGCTTGTCAGTGAAACGAGAATATTAACTGACACCCTTTGATACCACGGTACTTTAAGACCAGACTACCTCTCTCATTAAACTAAACTATTGTCTGATGGTAGCTGTTTTCAATTGATTTCCGAGGCACCATTATTGCGAAATTACTTCAAATAATCATTTTCGTCTTCTTTCCTTCGGTAGATGGTCTTTCGGTATACTTATTTGGGAATTGTGCACATTGGGTGAGTAATAACGTCTGATTCATAACTACAGAAGTATAGATCGTTTCTTCTCGAAATGGCATTTTATAGTAAGCATTCTGAATTTGAAGGCAAGTTCTGTCCAATGGATTATGCTTGTCTTGACTGGCTCAGAACCTTGTCCCAGTCCGTCCCAAAAAGGGCACCTGATTTATTCCCAAATTTCATCTCCAAAGAATACCTTTAACTGTACCAAATCAGGGACGGAGGACTGATCGGACATGCTCTCGGACTCCGATAGACGCCCTCAACTACAATGCTTGTATTTCGTTTGTATATAAATTCGTTTCAGCAGCCAAACATCTTTTTTCCATCTGTGGAGTATCTTACGTAAAAGCCAGGGCGATTTTAGAGGTTTAATCACTAGTGACTTAACACGTTAGACTTAAGGTCATGAAGTTGCGAGGCTTTTTTAATGAAGGAAAAAGGGAGCTCAAAGGAAGGAACACTTTAGATCAACTGATTTTTTAAGTGCAAATTACTTGTTATTTTGTAGCCTCCAGAAACTTAATGTTACTAGTTTCAGGGGTTCTTGTTTTAGCTTAGTTTTTGAAAATTATCCTAGTTAAAGACTATTTTTTGCCGTCTTCAAAATGAATCTATCCAAGGTGGCATCCCCTACCCTGGAATACGCAACAGAGAGTTGTACAACCTTCTTAAGTCAGGATATCGAATGGACAAACCAGGGATATGTTCTGATGAGCTGTACGTTCAACAATATTTTTCACCTATTTCATATATGTCCCCGTATGTGATGTGTGATACTCCCCCCTCACCAAGAAACTCTTAGTTAAGTTCGCCTATCTCAACTGCGTGACTTAATCCTTCTAGAAGTCATCTGTAAGGTTTTGTTTTAACTTGCGGTCCAGCACTAATAAATTTAATGATCAAGAAAATGCAACTCAGCCATTATGCTTTTTTCTAAGAAAACAGACAATTGTGGGAAGGAATTAAAAGGCCATAATAACGTGCCCAGAACCTCGACGCCGCTGAGTAAAAGTAATCTTAAGGGGAGAATTTATCATTTCTTGAGAGGAGTATGTCGTTCACACGTACCGTTTCTCAGTGAACTGATTTGTCTTGTCGAGACAAGTGTTTGGTACAACTATTAAAACGCTTTTACTGTGCAAATTGTTTTAAAGCCCACATGACTTCCTACTTGTACTTTAGTCGGGATTGTTTGGGAAAACAGTAACTGAATTCTATAATTATCACTTAATAGCTGTAATTCCTCCGTTTATATCCGAATACATTATATAACCACAGATACGAGTTGATGTTAGACTGTTGGAAGGCAGACCCGGAGGAGAGACCATCATTTGAACAGCTGCTAACAAGAATGGAAGAAATGATGACGAGGGACGCTCCTTACTTCGATTTTAATAAAGACTATAAAAGTGATTCTTCCGACTCGGAGACAAAACCCGACAATGATCAACTAAATGAATGATTGTGGTTTAGCTGGATACCATAGGTTTTTACGAGAAACATGAAGTTACTGTAATTTAGAATAATCATCAATTTGTAGTGATGTTAACAAGGAACTTGCTGTCACTAGATGTATGTGGATATCATATGCAGATTGATTTCTCCTTTGGGACAAACGTTCGCTCGTATAGATAGAAACAACAAAGCCTTGTGAATATGTTTTTGAAGATTTAAGAACAACAAGATTGAGTTCATTGTTGAACTGTCAACTTGATAGGAAAAAGTAGGAATAGCTATCAAAGATGTGATCTTCATGCCTGCTTTTTTGAAATGCTCTAAGGGAAGGGTCAATAATTCACTAAGCTGAGCGAAAAGACATCAACTGAATTCAGAGCATGATGATACAATTGAAACATCTAACTCTAAACAATTGCAGGCTGAAAACATCAATACTGTGGAATTTCATAAGATGGTTTGTAAATAATATATAGATTGTTAAATATAGATTTTTCAAGACGTTACATCAGCGTCACACATCTATTTAGGGTACCAGTCATTATTTATGTACAGAGGGGGAAGGGAAAAGAATGTTGAAGGGATTAAAATCTGTATTAGCCCCCCTAATCCAGGTTATGAAATTAGAAAGTGACCCCCCTTCTTTATTAAATATTTATATGAGGACCCCATCATCTCCTCATATTTCCTCTTAAATGCTTAGTAATTATTAGAATTAATGTCACATACAACCATAAGATGATTATTTTGCATAATACCCACCTGTTAAAACTGCTGTTAAATGTGCCTAAAACTGCTGCCCGTCCCCAACTTCTTTATGAAAAGTATAGCCCCCCCCTCCCTCTGAGATTTATCTGAGAGTAAATATACTAAAAGGAGTATGGCAATAAATATGGAAGCAGTAAACGAAAAATTGTTTTTAATTTAGAAAAGTCTTCCCAGCTAACTTCATAACTCAGCGAGTCTAACAGAATTTCAATGCA